CAGTTTGTTGTTTGTTGTTTGTTGTTTATTGAAAAACACAAGTTGATACTTTAACCATTAGTCTACACAGGCTTTATTTGCAATACACAGTGCTCACCATAAATAAATGGCATCTTGATTTTCTATCACCATTCCCAGACCATAGTGATTTGAGACTTCATACTTTCCAATATTATCCAATAATGTTCAGATACACATCCCTTTTTTAGTTTTTAATATTTTACATTTTGTATACCCTCACCTACTAATGTATGGCCCCTTGAAAATTTTCTCGTTTTTTTACATGGGATATCCTCACTTCGGCAAATCCAGGTGTCATTTTTTTTTATTTATTGTGAGCACTGTATTAGTAGTAGAACAATCAATGATGGAATCTAAGGACAAGCCATGAACACACCTCTTTTGTGCTGAGTAGAAGGGGTCCTCAAATGAAGCTTGGCATACTGTAATATTAGATCGATATTCTTTCACTGTAAACCTGTTGATTTTGTCTATTATTCTTTTTTATGAGACTGAATAAATATAGGTGCTAGGTACAAGCCTACGGCAACAATTTACACGTCACTTTGTAAATACTTTACATAATATGATAGCCTAATATAGTTTAGTATAATATAAGTAGATTTACTTTTGTACAGACTAATGTCTTGACGGCTTAAAGGTTAACAGATACATATATATATTTCAGTGTTATGTAACGAAGACTGCAGGTTGAGTTTTACTATGAAAGGGATATCATCTTCACAGTCAAACCGCTCAATTACAGTTTTGTTGAAAAATTGGATGAGAATATTTAGCAATTGGCAGTGCTCTACCCAGGATTTTTAGCGCAACATTTTGGATTTTTTTAAACGTTTTGTACATTTTAGGATTTTGTAGTTTTTTAGCAGAATTTTTGTAATTTTTTGTGCAATAGTTTAAGATTTAATTTAAACAATTATTTTTACATTTTGTGAGGCACATTAATTAAATTTAACTGTTATGAAATAAATGTATATGAAGGTGCTACGCCTTGGAGATTTCAATGTGGGGAGAGCACTTATGGGCTACCATGGTACGGTAATCTCTTATTTTATGTCAATCGTGTTGAGTAACAGAATACTTACAAATCTTTAGCATCATTTGGCATTTGAAATGCAGATAAATCTGTATCTTCGAATACTTCTCAAATCCGACACTTACAAATCTGAATACCATTCAATGTGAACACTTTTCTTCAAAGCTATTTTGTTATATCTCCCATAGACCAACATATCATAGAAAACCTTGAAATGTGAACACCTGCTAATCCGAACACTTTCAGTCAATTCCAGTGGCATTGGGATGAGAAAGGTTTAGGAATGCTGTCCAAAAGTTGACAGTTGTAATTTTACACACTTTGAAGCTTTGCTATCATGCGCTGTCAAATAAATACAAGCAAATACAGACAGCCAAAAAATAATTTGAATGGATACCCTCTTTCGTGCACAAGTCAAAAGCACACACAATACCATTCATAAATGCCGACAAAATTGAACTTTAAACAATTATTTACATTATAAACCTAACATCTTACTATAGGAGTCTAGACTACAACATAAACAACCTGTTCTCATATGTCATGACCATACAAAACCATTCACATTGTAAATGACACAAACTTCCCATTGTTAACTTGAACTCTTAACAAATCCTAGATGTCTTATTACTACATGTATTCTCATATTTCCCAGGACTTGTCATTTTGAGCTGTGATTACTTTTTGTATGTTTAGTTGAGGCTTCAGTTGAGACAACATTTTGGTTGAGGACACCCTTTTAGTTAATTGAGGATGATCTTTGGTAAAATTTACCAACAAAGATATCAAAGGTAAAAAACATGTAGACAAAATTTATCAGGATACCAGCCCAGCTGACCACCCACCCATCCAGCAAACTGATCACAATTTAACACCTAAGGGCGTAATAAAAAAAACAATCAGAAATCCCTTTGCTTGCTAAAACCCACCATCCCTCAACAGATTGGTGATATACTGACTTGCCACATTGGCCCTCAAACATGTATTACCATCCAGCATATTGCCTGTGATATTACACAGAAAATAATGACGTGTTTAACAGTTCTGGTTCCAAATCTCTCCCTAATCTGATGATTCACAGACAACCTCTTATTAGATCAGACTTCTTTTATTAAGAAATCTGGAACAAATCATAATATATGAAGTTGGGGAAATATATACATGCACAAATAAGGGGGACTAGATGCTTGTAAGCTTTTCTATCAAGTGTTTTATCAGCAAAAGGTAACAATATTATCACTAGTTGAGGGGGCGTGTCAGCAACAGGTAACAATATTATCACTAGTTGAGGGGGCGTGTCAGCAACAGGTAACAATATTATCACTAGTTGAGGGGGCGTGTCAGCAACAGGTAACAATATTGTCACTAGTTGAGGGGGCATGTCAGCAACAGGTAACAATATTGTCACTAGTTGAGGGGGCGTGTCAGCAACAGATAAAAATATTTTCACTTGTTGAGGGGCGTGTCAGCAACAGGTATCAAAATAGTCACTAGTTGAGGGGGGCGTGTCAGTATATCACCAATCAGAGGTCTTGTTACCAGCAGGCATTTTTCATTGGTTATTTTAACGAAAATTCCCTGCGGCTGTGTGGTATTTTACAACTGTTATGTCCTTTACTTCCAACAATTTTACCTGTTGTTTCAATTTTGCCTGTTGCCAAAAATTCTGATGAAACCAATGTTTGATATAATTAAAGATTGTGAATGAAATCAAACTTAGGTTTCAAGCTTGTATGGACCTTTTCGTCACCCTATCCAAACACATCTTGGAATTCAAAAGTCTGAAGTTGAAAATCAAACTTAAATGTGAACATAATCTAAACATAGTATTCTGCAATACACCTCTCTTTACAAACTGACCTTCAGGATTAAAATCAACATACCAATATTTGATTCCATTTCAAAAGATTCAACAGACTTGAATGCTCAGTATTACTTTTATTTGCATTCGTACTTGTAGCTTCATGTAATTCCTTTATGACTCTAGCATTAGAGCAGTTGGTCAGAACCCTTTTCAATATCATATATAGTGAGATTTCTCTTCTTTAAAAGGGAGCAGGGGTCCAGGTATAAGCCTGAAGGGTAATTTATACTCTGTAAATAAGAGACAATCTAGCCTTAGAGGTATAGGTTTAACCCCTAAACAGGTTTCAATCTTTGTCAAACATACATTCTGGGAAAATTGAGAGACAAGTCTTGCCTCGACTCCACACTTATGGAACCCCTCAACCATCTACTTCTCCTAATGGAGGAAGCCCTTTAGCCAGGCCAGGTGGAAGTTTCTGGCCAAAAAATTATTTAAAAACTTTCAAGTTGTTTTAGGCCAAAGTTGTCAAAATCTTCCTGTAATTTTTGGAAAAGTGAACCCCCCTTCCCTTGACAAAAGTTACTTAAGGGCCTGGCAGGTGAGTGGACTGTAGATGTGAAATGAATGGGGTTACAAGAAAAGGATGTGACTAATGAGAATTGCATTCCATATATCATGACATCAGGACCTCATTTTCAATACAATACAGACAGTATTGATTTCAGCTGGATTCGTTAATAACAACTCAGTTTATTTTGTCCAGCACAGCGGTTGATTTGAGGTCTACCACATAGCATGATATTGGATTTGAAAAAACAAATTGGCAGGAAAGGCAGTTTTTATGCAGTAAACAAGTTGTTTATTCAAAGCACAATGTACATGCATTAAATAGATTGGTTTAAAGGGTACGCTGTGTGATAAGGTCACCCAATGTGATATGGCTACCCCTGTATGATAAAGGTATACTATATGATAACTTTACCCTGTACGATAAGGCTACTCTTCCTGATAATGCTACCCTGAGATATACTATGATATATGACTACCCTGCATGATAAGCCTATGTACACTATATGTGAAAAGATTATTTGATAAGAATACCTTGTATGCACAATGGTAAGGACTGCATGATACACTATGTATGATAATACTGTAGGGATAAGGGTATAATATGGTTATCCTGGCATATCCTGCATGATCAAGCTACCATACCAGTTTTCTCCAGTGGGTACAAAATTCCCATTTTCATAATTACGACCACAATTGGTGAAAATATGCCAATTTTTCATGATTTTTCTCATTTTCAAGTGAGTGCAAATGGATTTTCGGGTCTTTTTTGAAATCTCAGGTGGGTGCTGCACCCACTTGCTTTAATGCTGGGGAAATCACTGCATACATTGCTATGTCAAAATGAAAATGTAAATAAGGTAGTTCCACATGAATGTTACTTTTGAGATCAGTTCTGAATTTTTTTTTTTCAAAGGCACAACTTTTTCATCAACATTTACAGTTTAACTAAAATCTACTGTTATCAGTAAAAACAAATATTAACTGGATTAGCTGTTTGTGGACATTTTTGATAGTCTCATTTGATTTTTGAGTGGGGCTATATTTGAGTGGGGCTATATATAAGTGGGGCTATACTTGACAACAGGTACATATTTCACCTAGGCCACTCCTTAAAATGATTTCAATTAATGATCAAAAACAAAAAAACACTAATCTCCATATTTCAATTCTACTTAACAACTGTTTCTTTCAGTGTTCCTCTCAGGATTTTCCTCAAGTTGGTGCCAATTTTCAGTCTCAAAATTTGACCAAAGGTCCATGTGCAAAAAACAAAAAAACACTAATCTCCATATTTCAATTCTACTTAACAAATGTTTCTTTCAGTGTTCCTCTCAGGATTTTTCCTCAATATGGTGGTTTTTCAGTATCAAAATTTGACCCGATTGCATCAAATTTTAATTGGGTGAAAATGGTACATTTTCAAATCCTTAAGTGGGAGCAGTGCTTGCTTCAATACGAGGGAGATGATTGAACAAACTTCAAGTGAACAGAGTAATAGTGTAATCCCTTATAGGGATGGGAGGGAACCAAAGAATTTCTGAACAACAGAACAAAAAATCAACTGACCTTTACTTGCTGTTTTCTTCTTCTTTTTCTTCTTTTTGTTGGGGTCTGTTGCCATGCCAAGCTCCAGGGGATTCCCTGTTGCTATAGGTTCACCTTGGGGAAGGTTTGGCACATCTTTGGTGATAGGCTTGTCATAAATATCATTAACTCTCTGCTGAATGGCCTGCATATGATGGTCTTTCCCAGATGGAAACGGTGGATTGTTTACCTCCTTTATATTAGGCACAATTGTCTTCTCGATACGTACACTATCACTGGAAGTTGAGCTAGGCATTCTGGAAGATGGATCGCCATAGCGACGCTGGTTAATGTAAGCATTTGTTTGGTTGAGAGGAAATGTAACTGCAGTATCAACATCCGGGTTGCCGGAACGATTAGACAAATTTTTGTTGAGCGAATTATGATTTATCCTAGGGATGCTATAATTTTTTTTACTGAACGAGATCTCCTGGTCTGATGACAATTTGGGGCCAGTCAGTTTCATTGGACCATTAGACTTAACAGGTCTATCTTCATCAAATTCATAATCCTCTCCCTCCTCTGTCTGCATATGGGCATAATCATTATGTTTCCCATAGAGACGATCATGAACATTGACACTTTTTAGGTCATCATCAGAGTCCTCTATATTAAGCACCTCATCATATGTATTATTTGTTACTCGAAAAGTTTTCATTTCTGTCGATCTGGGGCCATCACTCATGGACCTAGAAGTCCTAAAATCATGGTCAGATGATATGGATCGTGGGGAATCATCAACAGGTATCTCTTCATCAGCGTTAAATCCAACGTCATAAGCCTTATCATGTGAGTTGACAATATGTGTGTTGCTAGAGCGAATTTCAACAGGCCTCTTATTTACATATCCTGCTCTATTATACATGACTGGTTTTTCATCCTCTGGCGTCTCCTTTGTTGACGGGAAATAATCAAACACTCCACGTTGCTCATTCTCATCAATATCCAAATCAGCATCACTAGCGCTACCTATTGTAGTCTTACTAGAGTTACACACACCCGAATCAACACTCATATCTGACCACTTACGACTCATGTTTCTTGACGTGCGTTCTAGAGATTTTAAAGACACTTTAGGTGAAGTAGCTCCACCTGAATCTTCGTCATCATCAATATATTTTATCCCACTTAGATCGCTGTGATCAGTCAAGCTGTTGGTAGTCATATTATTGCTAGTCACGCTGTTACTAATATCACTTGTTGTATCCCGTATATCAGATCGTGACTGTGATTCAACAGGGTTCACTTTATTGTCACCAGGTGTCACTGGTGCACTCCTAGCGAGACTATAATCTCGAGCGTTTGAGACAAGATGGTTGAAGTCTTTTTCGGGTAACTCTGATATCTTTCTCGCCTCGTCTTTAATGAGGTCAACCTGGAAAATGAAAATGAAAGTAATCTTCAATCAAGTCAAATTTCAAAATGTTTGAGCATTGCCCAAGATATGATATTTTGATATGATTCATTTCAGGCTGTTTTATTTCATATTTTAACATATAATGGCATTTAAAAACAAGGCATTAATGATAAAATGTCACCACCTTGTAAGTTTTTGCAAAATATTACAGATGGATGAACTCTGAATGCCAAACACCATCAACACAAAATTGGAGAATATGTCACCACAAACACAATATAACATATAAAAAAAATAGAAAATTATCATTTTTCTTACTTTTAAAACCACTAATGAAACAGTTGTGAAATACACTAAAACATTATTTTATGAATATATCATCAAAGGAGGTACATAGATATAACAGTAAACACTTGGGTTCATATTCACTTGCCCTTGGCCAAGACAGGCTTAACTGACTCTAATAAAGATAGTAAAATGAAAGCATCATGGGTACTCCAGGTGACGTACATAAAAATTGGGTCAAACACCTAAAATAATGTCCTATCACCTCCCACGCTAATGCATCTGTAAAAAAGCTAAGTATCAGCTTTTATTTATCCAATTCAAGAGAACTGTGAAAGACATACAGAATTTTCAAAAATTGTGACAGTGACACCTAATTATCTAAAACCAATACCTTGATGATATGTAATTTCATTGTACAATGCATATAATAATAAAGCATTCACATGCAAAATGTCACAACCTGCCATTTGTTACAGATGCGAATTCCGAACACTGTCCACAAAAAGTTGGAGACAAAAACAAGATGCCACCACTTGTGGTGACATAAGTGGTGACATAAAAAGCATTTACCCCCACTCTAATCACTCCAAACTCATATAAAATATGCTTACATATACAGTATAAAACACAAACACCTCTCTAATCTGAACACCTTTCAATATTGAACACCCTTTCTCAGTCATAATTTTCCAATTGACTCACATATAAAATCCTGAAAGTGAACACTTGCTTTTTCCCTGTCCTAGAAGCATAATCTGAGTAAACAAGTTTTATAGTACATGAAGATCACCCTGACCCATGTATATTATACACCAAAACAATTCAAGACTTATCCCAATAATATAAATACATGTTCAGTATATGTGAACTGTTCTACCTTCTTATTCCTTTTCAATCATATAAATACATGTTCAGTACATGTGTACTACTAAAGGTCAAATGCAGAAATTATTACACGTTTAACCTAAATATGCCTCATATTCTATTCATTTTGCCTCACCTATTAATAAAGGCTATTAATTTTGCCTCACCTATTAATAAAGGCTATTAATTTTGCCTTACCTATTAATATAGGCTATTCATTTTGCCTCATCGATTAATACAGGCTATCAATTTTGCCTTCCCTTATTTTAGGTTCTAGATACACCCTGCATGTTTGCCTCGAACAGAATACAAACCTAGAAAAATAAATGAATATCTTTCAGATACCCAACACATCCTGATATACCCTTGCCAATTGTCCGATTTCACTTATATGTTAGATTTATTAATTTGTCTGTCCTAATCATAGCCTAATAACTAAACTCTTTACCTCAGGGTATTAATACATGTATTTCAGTAATTTTTCAATTGCAACATCCGAGAAATGAGTTGACACATCTGAGATCATGATGACTTTACACAAACTGCAGCATTTCTAGCATTGATTCATATATACCTATATATGTAATAATGAATAATATGTATTCTGTAGATCTAATTTACATTATAGAGCTCTAGGGGGCTGCCTCAAAGACATTAAAGTTAATCAATAAGAAAATAAATTGGTGATGTCATTATTAAGAAACGGTTTATACCAATACAAAGAATCTTGCTTTAGCCCCCCTCCCCCTCCATCTTCTCTCTTTAACACAGTAAATAACAGATTCTAAAATTGCAGATTCTAAAATTGGTTAATGAGATAAGTTTTTTATAATTCCCTCATAGACAGGACCTAGTCTTGCTTAAGCCTCCCTCCCCCTCTGTCTTCTCTCTTAGCACTTTGTAAAGCTATAGGATAAGCTATTTCTTATTTTCCTCCTATGTTCATGACATACATGTTCCAGCAATAGGGTAGACACAACCCCACCCTCTTATAACAAGAAACATTGAGCTGAACGTTCCTAGTATATGGTCCCTCATGATTCACCTGCTGTATGATACCTGGTAATTAGAACAGACATTGCAATTTACAGCTTTGCAACTTCTTAGTAGAGCAAATTATGCTTGGCCCTAGATCAATAATACATATAGACATAACACATACTGTTTTGGAAATTAATAAACATACGTAGTAATGTATGAAATTAATATGTACTGCTTGTAAACTTGTAATAGGTCATCTGAAATGAATATGCACTGCTTGTAAACTTGTAATAGGTCACCTGAAATAAATGTTTGTACCCCTGTATCATCAAAATTGAATATGTATTGGTTGTAACCTTGTAAAAGGTCATCTAAAATGAATATGTTGCCTGTAAAGGTCATCATCTTGTAATAGGTCATCTGAAATGAATATGTACTGCTTGTAATAGGTCATCTAAAATGAATATGTACTGTTTGCAGGCCATCCAACTGTCCCGCAATTAAAGTTTTCACGCAAATTGCATATATGTCACGCATTTGCATCAAATTTTCTCGTCCCCCCCCACCCCCGTTGATAGAGTTAATGAACATGATTTGGATATATACAATTTACAATTTGAACGAAGGTGTTCAAAATTTGGACCACAGGTATTCAGATTTGGATCAAGGTGTTCATAATTTGAAGGTAGATGTTCTTCATTTGTAAGTCACTCATTTTAGGTGTTCCCAGGTTGACAGGCTTGTGTTTGTGACTTTGTATGAAATAAATATATTTGACATAAGGGATGTGTGGTCTAAGGTCTTGAAGCAACTATATTCTGTGTTTGTTCAACTAACTGTTCCCTCATGATAAGCTATAATAACAACCAAGGTCAGTACTCTCTCCAGGAAATATTTGGATTATGGTGGAAATATTTTCAATATAATGGTTCTGTTGCAATAAATCAAATTGATTTCATTTCTACCTTTTACAAGATATAATTCTATATTTCAGTCAATTTTAGATGCTGGTAGCCATGGCCATAGGTATAGGCACCCTGGCTTGAGCGAGCTGCGGTGTGTATATTCTATTCATGTATTATTATCATAAAAATAGAACTATCTTCTTGATCTGATAGGGTTACATGTAGACATGGTATGTGCAGACATGTAAAAAGTACATGTAAAACCAGTACAGCTAACAGCATCCATGAACTAAATTTACATTAATTTTTTGAATTTTTCCTACATGAAGATGATACATGATAAATCATTAATTAGAAATCTATTCCAAAGTTTATCAGATAAGCAGATATTGAGTAAACATAAAAAGTATATATACTGTATATAGACCCGGTATTTGTGTTATACTGCATATAAACGAACTAAAAAGATATGTTTTAGAAACAGTTACACTTATAATCTAACCTGGATCCCAGGCATGGTCGAACAGAAATCTTCTTGGCCCCAGTACGTCCACTTAAATTTCCCCTAGATGGCTCTCCAAGCAGTAAAATTCAACGAAATAAATGATAGAAGCTCATAGCGAAAGGTCATGCAGGCTGTCGAAACAGACCCCTTAGCACAAGTGCAAACCCATAATAAGCTCTACTTTACTGTTTAACTCTCATAAGTACCAGTATACATTTTATCGTTAATTTGAATGGATATGATGCCAACTTGTAAACTATGGGTGTTAATTGTTTGGAAAACACAATTGAAAATCAAATTTGATTGAAAATATATGTACTACTGAAAACAAAAACTACTCCAAAAAGAATATAATCTTGCAAAGGTTCCATGGTTAAAGCTAGCACAAAGAAAGGAAGAAAAGAATCGAGGTTAGAGTCACACTGAAATAGATTAGACATTAGAAGTATTGCTAATCCTATAGTGTGTCTAACCTCTCATATACCTATATCCAATAAATACCTTGAACAGCGATACATATTTTATAGCTCTTATATTTGTAGTACAATATTGGATTTATGGCTTGTGGCCTTACTACTAAATGTATGAGTAGATCTCTTTAGCGCCAAATCGAATAACTCTTTTAAGTCAACATCTATAACCTATACATGCTCATGCATTTAGCCTGACTAAATAAGTCAAAGCAACATTTACTACACATAAATGTACTGTCTATACAATAAGGTATACCTAAAGGTTCAGAAATTTTCCTGTTTGGGTTCAGGTAATAAATTGAGCACAAATAAATATTATACTAGAAAATTCAGTGACCTATATTTTTGTACTTTTAAAGAGAATGTCACTGAATTTCTATATATTGCAGAAAATTATCACTTTGAACTAATACTGTAGGTTGGGTTTATTTGGTGCTAAAAATTTGGTGATTTTGTCATCTTTGGCATATTGTCTGCTATTTAATTTGGCGAACACTAGGGCTCGGACATTGCCCTGACGCCACAACTTCCATATACACTGGAACAAAATACATATAGTGTAACACCTATTCCTTCAATTCAACTACTTTATCTTGTAATTTATTGTTCAAGCAACTCCCCTGGGCCTATTTAGAAGTGATATGTTCTGATTATCACCCTTATCCTTTTCAGATTTTGTAAAACTTAACAAGAAGTGACTTAAACATACTAGACAGAATTCCCGGGGATCCTTTTTAAATTTTGGCGAAGATGTATATTGGCGTTTTTTCAAATTCATCATATTAAAGCGGGCGCCAAATTAACCCAATCTGCATAATCTTGGTACATTGAAATTTGACATACTCAGCAGAAGACTAAAAGATGTAGATTGTATGGCTCTAATGATAGGTGCATTCGGTATTAAACAACAGCCCAATGAAAATCTGTCCTACTTGACGTGATGCTAAGTTGGAGATGTTAATGTTAATAACCTTGTTTTTGTCTATCGCATATTAGTCTATTAGGAAGCAATCAAAATTTCTTAACATTACAGAATTTAGTTAATCTTAAAGGCAGAATCACATCTACAGGTGGTGACAAATTGGAAGCAATGCACTTGACTTCGTCTCGTTCCAATACAGAATTTTTCGAGCAGAATATATCCTGTAATGCACTTCAAATCATTCTATAACATTTTTATCCTGTGATCCTCTGCAATGCTACTGAGAATGTCCTCTCCGTACCAATATTTTCTCTATTGCGACGGAGATGATCAATGGGGACAATCTCAGTAGCAAAACAGATTGGTACAGCACAAGAACTGACCAATCAGAAGGCTTCATTTTACAGATCATATGATAAATACAATTACGAAGATCAAGATGATGTTAATGATTAGTCCTTGCTAGATCTGATTCTGCCTTGAAAATAAAGACATGTACAAACAGAAAATTCTAGACTTTTGTAATATAACATAAACTTCTATTGTATGCGCCCAAGACCAGAATGTCGGGACGGTATTGGAACTAGATACAGTAAGACTTCAATAGCATAGGCAAAATGGTCCTATCATCGCATGGGTACTTCGGAAAACTACTGATAATTTCAATTATGATAACTTCGGTTAACTTTGAAGATACAAAAGAACATGGGAAATGGCGATGATAGGTCAAATAGGCATTTTGGATATGCATAAAACGAATGTGGATATGACTCAATCCGAATAGCAGTTTTAATTTGTGCGGCCAATGATGACGGACTAGTATGTATCCAACAGACTGACTAGAAGTCAGTCTGTTATGATGTACTACTTTCCTGTGGAAATTGCAGTGAAATTTTTTGCACAAAATTATCAATTGGAGGAACCATTTTTTCAATAAAATAAACATTACAAAATTTCAATTAAATAGTAAGGTACAATTAAATGCAATAAAAAGTAACATAGCATATTGTCAAGTGGAAATAAAGCTAGTTGAAGTAACAAATGTGCAAATTAATTTTACCCAATCGGCCATTTTGAATAGCACTTCCTATGTAAACAAATATATAGAATTGCCAAACTTTAACATAGGTGCCTTATAGTCTGAATATAATTCAGACTAAATAGGATATAGTCTAGATGACGGACGGACCGATCCTAAAGGATCACTGTGTGAGCCAAAAAGAGATTTGTAAATATAAGGATAAATCATAAGATAGTGTTGAGCTGATATTTGTAACACAGGTTAAGAGAGGTGTGTGCATATTTTAGCTATTATGGACATTCCTGCGATAGGACCATTCAATAGCAAAATTAGAACCACTCCACCAACCACTTCCAATACTGCCTGTGGTCCATCAATTGAGAATTACAACCAAAACAGTTTCCTTATTAAGCCTAACTTCATACCCCCCCCCCCCCCTTCATTCACATTCACTGTAACTTCATGGAGGTGTTCATGATGAAAATATAATGAATTGTAAATTGCAAGTTCCACGTTGCACTAACCTGATAATAAGGAATAACAAGCGAAAAATACACCAAGGTTTTAATATCAAACACTCCAGTGTGCAAACGCATATGCTAAACACGTAACCAACTCAAAGAATTACGTGTAGAGTTCCCAAAAATGTTTACATATTGACTTGAAATCAGCAAAATAAATCCGAAAATTCGAAGTTTTCCCGGTAAGAGAAAATAAACTGCAAATTTAACAATAAAATACCTGCTCAGGATCGCAATCCTTTGGCACAATCGTATCGTATACTTGGAGGAATTGGTCTGGGTCTTGGTTTCTCAAAGCACAACCTAGAAGAAACGAATATCGAGTGTTTTCTTCAACATTTTTTTCCGCTATGTCCATTTTTGAGTTTCGGCCATCTTGAATAATTTAGCGTTGTCAGGCCAGTTTAGCCTCGAACCAAAATCTTTTGACTTTCAAACAGGAAGTGAAGAAGTAAAAATTTACCTGTCCGTTTTGCCACTGTTCATGGCCAATATGACAGACAACGTTTACCTGTTCGTACCCAATCTCATTGGTTAGTGATTAGACTATATACTCATACTTTCCAGTTGAACAGATTTTGTCAAATTGTCTTTTTTTTAGGCTTTGGAAATTTTTACTTTCCAGATTTATTTTCATGCAGATTTTTCAGTTTTCAGCTCAGAATAAAGCTGGAAGGCTAGGCCTTGATCTACCTGTATTGAGAGCAACATGATCGACCTGAAACTAAGCTACTGAGATATTGTATTGAATCAGTTGTGAGCAGTGTCTTTGATATTGTGTGACCGTCCTCTTGATTCACAGGCATCGGAGCAGATATTAGAGTTCTCCTGACCCCCCCCCCGCTCTCTGTGTATAGATATAATAATATTTTTATATGCTTGGTACACAGAGTTTGGGGGTAGGTATTTCTTACGATACCTGTGATTCGAAGGCTCGATCATAAATTTCCATTTATGACAGTGTACATGAATAGAAACATTCTTGCGGAGAAATGAAAAGTATTCAAAATCTAATAGTCTGCTATTTATGCATTTCACGTATTGAATACTCGATTAAACTTTTTTCTCTGCCTGATCCTGGTGTAATGACCCTTGATAGAAAGTCACAACTTGCTACTAGTCTCTAGACTTCAACATGTCCCTAGTCCTACTATCCTACCTACCTACCTAGTCTAGGTGCGGTAGAGTGTCCGACTTGTGAGCAGAGGGTCCTGGGTTCGATTCCCGCATTGGGCATTGAATTTAAGTACACTCCCTTTTGGTTCTGGTATTTACAATTAACTTGTTACACTCGGCTTCCCAGATGAGTGTGCTCAGGGTCGATACACTCATAGGCCTATGCAGAGGATATTGCAAGTGTTATGTTTTTTCAAGACGTTAGACATGACATGCATGAATCTCAGAAACTGTTTTTTCTTTCAGGGTATGCCAGGATTGTCCTCGCCCTAGTGTCATTCTACTTTATGCCAACAGACTATGTAACCGCTACATGGTGCTATCTTCTCAGTGGCCTCCTAGATGCTTTTGATGGACATGCAGCTAGGATGCTTAATCAAGGTGGGAATCAAGGTTTATAGATTGGGAAATAAGTTTTTATGTCTACAATTGGTGGTGACACATTGTTATAGTCCTCAACCTTTTTGTGGATGGTGTTAGGTTGTCAACATTCGCCAGTCAGCATCTATAACAAATGGCAGGTGGTGACATTTTTCATGTTTATGCCTTTTTATTGTTATACAAGTACGAACACAGTCAATAGATAGTGCTTGATTCAAAAGGATTTTGTATTTTGCCACATGACATCACATTTATCCATTGGGGCTAAAATAAACAAGTTTGAATAAGTTAAATAGTTAAAAGAACCTGTTAATTCCTATAATCTCACATTTTTAATTTTAACGATAGACCACTTAGTCCACCACAGCAACACCTATATTCCCTGACCTGCTATGTTTCTAGGGCCAATTTATGATTTGTAACATTTGGAAAATCTAGTTAATAAACCACAAGTACCTTGTCTTCCTCCAAACGCAAGGCTCCAGAGATCATTCACTCTCTGAAGAAAAAGAGTAGATGATGTCTGGAGTCCAGTGTTTAGAGTATGATACTAAACATGCACTAACTTAACCTGCATTTTCTTTATTAATAGGAACAAAATTTGGTGCTATGTTAGACCAGCTGACAGACCGATGTGCCACCATGTGTCTGCTTGTGGTACTTTCCTGTTTCTACCCCCAATATATGATTCTATTCCAAATCAGCATGATCATTGATATTGTGGCCCATTGGATGCATTTACACAGGTGAGTGGGTGCTCAGGCTCGACATATCCCAGCGCTTGGTAAAAAATTTTGCTGCGGGATAAAGTGATTTCAGAACTACACTAATGCCTGATCAAAAAATATGCTATCAAGCCATCACATAATTACCATACTATATTACCCTTGCAAAAAATTTCATTTTTCATGTCCTTTTTGAAGATCAAAGTATATGCTATCAAGCAATCATACATCTCTATGTCAGGGGAGGCGGCTGGACAAGGATTATTTCAAAAGCATACGGTTTTTCACCATTTTGTGTAGTTTTCAAGTGATTTTGGGCCAAAACTCTAAAAATTGAACTCCACCTATATTTTAAAAAATTGAACCTTCCTTTGGCAAAAACTGACTAAGGGCCTGTTGGTTGTGCAGGATCTAATGTTATATCCCCATTATTATTCCTAAAATAAACAGGTAATTTTGGTGAAAACAGGCAGTTTGGTTCCAACTGCAAATGGAACCCAATGCTTTTTTTATGTCACCATCAGCAGTGATGACATATTGTTATGGTCTCCAACTTTTTTGTGGGCAGTGTTTGGTGGTTGGTGTTCAGTGGTCGATGTCCAGCAGTTGGTGTTCGGCATCTGTAACAAATGTCAGGCAGTAACATTTTGCACGTTAGTGGCGTGTACATGTATTTTAGGGATAGAGGTGCAGCACCTACAGTTAATTCATGGCACCAATGTTATATTAAAAACTAAAAATGCCAGGCTTTCACGGGTGTTTGAATATGGCATTTAAGCCATCTACTTATGGAGGTAAAAAATTCTGAATGGCCTAATAGGTCAGGTAATACTGGTTCATCAAATGATTATTCTAGAGACAATCTAAAAAAAACTGAAGAAAAAACATAAAAAATATCAAACAGAAGTTTTATATATATTGTTATAGCATGCACATGTATAGTATCCAACTAAACACATTTTGAGGACAGTGTTTGGCATACAGTGGTTGGTTTTCAGTGGTCGGTGTCTGTAAAAAATGGCAGGTGGTGACATTTTGCATGTACATGCCTTTTTCTAAGACCTTGTAGTTCACATAATTAAACATTATGCCCCATTTCTGGTTTCAGTTCAGTAATGAGTGGATCTACTAGTCACAAGCAGATAGATCTTGCAGGAAATCCCATTCTACGTCACTATTACACTAATAGGGTAAGTATGTTGTATAAGAGTGAAGCAAGCAGATAGATCTTGCAGGAAATCCCATTCTGTGTCACTATTACACTAATAGGGTAAGTATGTTGTATAAGAGTGAAGCAAGCAGATAGATCTTGCAGGAAATCCCATTCTATGTCACTATAACACTAATAGGGTAAGTATGTTGTATAAGAGTGAAGCAAGCAGATAGATCTTGCAGGAAATCCCATTCTACGTCACTATTACACTAATAGGGTAAGTATGTTGTATAAGAGTAAAGCAAGCAGATATATCTTGCAGGAAATCCCATTCTGCGTCACTATTACACTAATAGGGTAAGTATTTTGTATAAGAGTGAAGCAAGCAGATAGATCTTGCAGGAAATCCCATTCTGCGTCACTATTACACTAATAGGGTAAGTATGTTGTATAAGAGTGAAGCAAGCAGATAGATCTTGCAGGAAATCCCATTCTGCGTCACTATTACACTAATAGGGTAAGTATTTTGTATAAGAGTGAAGCAAGCAGATAGATCTTGCAGGAAATCCCATTCTGCGTCACTATTACACTAATAGGGTAAGTATGTTGTATAAGAGTGAAGCAAGCAGATAGATCTTGCAGGAAATCCCATTCTGCGTCATTATTACACTAATAGGGTAAGTATGTTGTATAAGAGTGAAGCAAGCAGATAGATCTTGCAGGAAATCCCATTCTATGTCACTATAACACTAATAGGGTAAGTATGTTGTATAAGAGTGAAGCAAGCAGATAGATCTTGCAGGAAATCCCATTCTGCGTCACTATTACACTAATAGGGTAAGTATTTTGTATAAGAGTGAAGCAAGCAGATAGATCTTGCAGGAAATCCCATTCTGCGTCAGTATTACACTAATAGGGTAAGTATGTTGTATAAGAGTGAAGCAAACAGGTAAATCTTGCAGGAAATCCCATTCTGCGTCACTATTACACTAATAGGGTAAGTATGTTGTATAAGAGTGAAGCAAGCAGATAGATCTTGCAGGAAATCCCATTCTGCGTCATTATTACACTAATAGGGTAAGTATGTTGTATAAGAGTGAAGCAAGCAGATAGATCTTGCAGGAAATCCCATTCTATGTCACTATAACACTAATAGGGTAAGTATGTTGTATAAGAGTGAAGCAAGCAGATAGATCTTGCAGGAAATCCCATTCTATGTCACTATAACACTAATAGGGTAAGTATGTTGTATAAGAGTGAAGCAAGCAGATAGATCTTGCAGGAAATCCCATTCTGCTTCATTATAACACTAATAGGGTAAGTATGTTGTATAAGAGTGAAGCAAGCAGATAGATCTTGCAGGAAATCCCATTCTGCGTCACTATTACACTAATAGGGTAAGATTTTCTTGGAGTGTGAGAACAATTAGAAAAATATAAATAACATGTTCACTTGCAATAGACCTTTTCAATCTTGACCTCTTCTGGTGAACCAGAGAAACTGGGATATATTAGCTTGATTTATAATGCATACTGTACTTTTAAAGAAGAATTTTTTTAAGCAAATCTGATTTTAAAAGTTTCTGAAAAACAGCAATAAGTTTATGCTTTTATAGGGAAACTCGGAAAATATGTATTGCATGCATAATCACTATCTCTGGAACAATCTGTTAGTCTTATAGTCTAGTTTCTGGGGTTGAAAGGGCTTAGAGCAAGACTTATTGTTATCCTGCCTCTTCTTTTTTTTCTTGACGTAGTGTTTAAAGGCAGAATCAAATCTAGCAAGATCCTTAAGAGTACTATTGACAAAAATTGTTTTAGAATATTTTGGGCTCATGTCTTTCCTTGTCATGTCTATTTTCTAAAAATCCCCCAAGTATACTGTATTTGAGGGAAAATGAAGGTTTTTACACTGATGCATTCATGTGTCTACAAATATGGTTACTATTTTTATTTATTATTTGGGAGAATATACACATTTTCTCCCCATTTTGGCACTTTGAATCAGAAATAACTTTGCCAATTTATAACATATCGTGCAGAAGAAGTGAGTAGCTCCCATAATTCTATCATATACTATGTTATTCGGGGATTCCCAAAAGTATGATGTCTAATCAAATTGCAGGATGTGATCATGCGAACAATCATGAGCACATGCTCTCTCAGTGCCACGCATGCGCAAAGTTAAATTTGAAATCGTGGAAATGGTGTTTATTTCAGTTTAACATCATCATTCTAAAACTACGGTCATACTATTGAAGTTACTCGATCCAAACTTGTAGGGAATATTCATAAAACAACAGCAAACATTAAGAGATCCATTTCAATGGCAAATGAGGCCTGTTTATTAAATTGGTTATTGAACGTGCCGAATACTACAGCTCATCTTTGGGAAATCTCCCCCCCCCCCTGATATCGTGGAGCTTTTGGAAGATATTATATTTGAGATTGTGAGGAATATGTCGGTAGGTCAACTGTACATATTAATACTCACAATTTTGTCACTCCCTGTAGATCTGATTCTGTCTTTAATTTCAGAGAATGTTGAGCTCATTTCATGAACACCATGTGTCAAAATGAAAGAAAATTAATTTCAAATGGTATAATCTCCTCATGGGGTTTCACTTCTATACCTCAACAATATTGATTTAGCTTGTCTTTTCCCATCCTCTGATCACAGGGCTTCAAAATCCAGAATATATTCTTTTACCCCCTGTGATAAGCAGTTACCATTTCCCCGATTAAGAGCTCGCAATCTGATTGGCTGTCGCAACACTGCGACAGAAATCATGTATAAGTCATTGCGCATAATTAGATCACGTAATTCAGTTAAATTGGGCGCTTCCAAATTGGTTATAGCAGGGGGAAGAAGGAGGTATGGATTCTGGACACCTGCTTTGGAGGATGGTCTTTTCCATTTACTCCAATACATTGGTATTGCCAGTTATGGTACATAATACTAATATTTTTGTTTATATAAATCCCATAAGATTTTGTTCTGAACAGCTAATGCCATTAATTTTATCTTTTTCTGCACTTCAAAGCTTCTCAGGCACGATGTTTAAAAACAAACAAACAGAAATTAATTTGTATTACCAGCTTAAATTTATTTAATTTGATTAAAAACTATGAATATACAACAATGTAGAAATGACAATATATTGTTTCTTGCACAGTAAATATAACTCTTAAATGTTCAGCAAAATTGTGTCATGTGCCTACTTTTTTTTATTTTAGTTGTAATCATAATATGGAAATAAATATAACATATATGTATAACATAAATGATTTAATTTAATAATGAAGTTAATACCATATATTAAAGTTAACAAAAATATATGAGCCAGGGCACAGGTAAAGGGGTCTTATCACAGATTTTTTGATTTTTTGTTTACCTTAAAAAGCAGAGAGACCTTTCAAATGAGCCATGGCTTATGTCTTAACAATTTTACTTGCAGATATAGACCAAAGAGATGGATTTGAATTCAGCATATTTTCTTCCTAATCTTGGGCACATTTTTGGCTCTGTAGCACAATTTTAATTTTTCTGATCAGACCGGTTTTCCTATGTTGAGGCTCATATACAAAATTAACAAGTCATTTCTTTGATATGTAGACAGTAAAGACACTAAAGCATTTTAATTCATTATGAAAATACAGAATGAAATTTAGTAATGAAGACTAGTTTCATTTCGAGCAAAATACAATGACTATCATATATTGATTGCCTGGAGATTTTTATTGCATTGGCAATCATTAACAAAATTGAATCTAGGTTATAATATAATTCTCAAAAGTTAAATAAGTAGACTAGCCAGTTTTTAGCATAATACATGTACATTGCACGTTACAGTGTCTATTTTAATGTGCACTGACACCTTGTATAGAAAATTCAACTGTAGAAAAGATGGGACTAAGCTTATTTGTGAAAATCTAAATGATCTAAATTCTCCCATAAATCTTTCTTAAGAGTTGATTATTCTAAAACTCCTCCACAATTGCACAACTGAGTGACTCCGAGATTTGTTAATTGTTTTAGAGACACATTTGCCAAAATGGAATATGGTCCAGGCTACTGCAATGTCTCTTATTTGATGTGCATTTGGAAAAGGGTTTGGTGGATTATCTATTTTTGTGCTTATTCCATAAGATACACACTTGTAGCCAGATATAAAAAGATTGGGAGCAAAACTTTCTTTTTTTCCAGGAAGCTTTCCAATTTTGCTCAACTTTTGAGAGTTATACTAGAAAATAGAATTACTATTTTACGGACCCAAAACTGGTTGACAGTAAAAACAATTTGCTCACTTTATTTTCAAATTTTTGAGACACTAAATTTGCAAGAGTAAAAAAATCCAAAATCTATAAGAGTAAAAAACAAAAAAGCTCTCTTTCGGAGCTACACAATGAAAAAAAGAATTGAGAAAAAATGATAAATCATAACGGAGATAATTGAAAAATTGTAAACATAACCTTAATTTTGAATTATTCGTTATTGAGAAAACATGGAAAAGCAGTACACTATTATAACAAAACTTAAGAAATATTAAATATGTTTGGGGCTCAGTATAGACCATCCAACCCCTCTGGCTACAGTGTTGAAATAAGCACACAAATAGTCAATCCATAAATCTATCTACAAATGCACTTGCCTCCTCAGAAAATCCTCTATTAGCTAATACCCCAATGAACTTGTCGAAGTTTCCGTCTAGCATCTCCCTGCCTAGACTCAGTATCCCAGCCATCAGGACACACTCAGATGCTCCTACGAGCTCAAGTAACTGAAAGAACACATTAAGAGGCTAAGCACAATGTGCAAATATTATGTTCAATGAAAAAGAAAATCCTTTTTCATGTTTTGGATATGCATCTTAATTAAAAGTACTGTGCATTTTGTGTATCGTAATCATATCTTTTAGAGCCAACAAAAAGTTCTAAAAAGCAAGCCCAATGTCATGTTTAAGAACCCCTATTCTTCACTTGAGGGAAAAGTGAAAGGTAGAAGTAAGAAAATAAATCTACGATTTCTGTTTTTTTTCTTGCTAAAAACTCATTTTTATTGTTTTTTAAGCCCCTGATAGTTATATACATCCTTTAACTAAGGCCTTTATAAAAATTTTGGTTTGCCCTATTTTGAATCATAGTATAGTTAGTGCTTGTAGTTTAGTATGAAGTCTTATATTTACGACTATTGTAATCATGCATAGGTGTAGCCAGGGGGGTGCGATTGCACCCCCCCCCATAACCAATTAAAAGTACAAACATGAGAAAGAAGAAAAGAGCTTTAACATGCTTTTTATTTGAAGCTTCTTGGTCAATTTTGAAGGAAGTTGCATCAATTTTTGTAAAATTCAAAATAAATCTTATTTTGTTGGCTTGTTTATGCCACAATCGCACCCCCCTGACTGAAAACTTTTTTTTGGCAATAGCATCCCCCCTGACTGAAAGCTGGCTACGCCCCTGCCATGTTATGATACTATTCACTTAGTGTCAATAAAATAATTCAAAATTATGATAATTAACCCAAATACTGTACATGTATATTGAAATAAATGTATCTTTTTGCTTACTGTCTTGTTACTTGGTCATCTTTTGAATAATATTATTTTATTAAATATGTACAGATACATGTACTTAAAGGAAATGTAAAGCCTCAATTCTCTTTAAATAGTTCTAAATACTATACTGAACAGGGGCTATTATTTTTAATAAAGTTGCTTGCTTTTAAAACATTTTGAAGTAGGAAATACCTGAGCCAATAAATCATCACCTATGTTGAAGGCAATATGAAGTTCAAACGACCCTCTAGGTTGCAGTTGGTTCCTTTGGTAGAATAAAATTTGTCTTGCGAGCCATATGATATTGGCATCGCTGAGGCGACCTAAAAATATGATTATGAACAGCATCAGAACATTTCAAAATATATCAGTTTGAAACAAAATACTAGTATACTTTTTGTGTGACCACTAAGAAGTGGTGTCATTTTGCCATTTCTGAGAAGCGTCTGGTTGGCAGTAACACTGCAGTGTAACCATTTGCATGGGGAGTAATTTTGTCATATTTGTTTTATAAAGTAATGTGATCAGTTTCCAATATTTTCTTTATTTTGAATATTTCAATTTAAAATATATAGATAAGATCAACATTAAAAAACCCATTTTGAATTTTTTGAAGATTGATCAATCATGCCCATGTGTGATATTCATTGCATGGAAGCTTAATACAATACATAGCCTTCATTATACAGTACATCATTATATTAGTACATCCTGTTTACATGATAATAGGACCAATTGTTATCCCAACGGACGAAGGTAGGGATATAGTGAAGCCCTATGTTCATCTGTCTGTCCGTCAGTCAGCCAGTCTGTCCAGGAGATAACTTGAACACTTATTAGACAGATTTTCTTCATATTTGGTTGAAAGATGTATATTGGTGAATAGTTTTACAAGATGGCCACTGCTTTAAAAAAGACGAGACTTTTCACGAAAACCTCATTTTAAACCAAAGTAATAAATATAATTGTATGAAATTTTGGAAGTACGAAATATTCACAACATCTATCAATTTCACATGTAATCCACATTTTTACCCTGACCCCCAGGGGCCATGGATGGGGGCAGATTCGGGCCTCGAAAAATTCAAAATGGCCACCTAATGTGGGATTACGCAATAAGTATGGCTATATTATACTCAAATTGAAGGAATTTTAGAGAAAACGCAATTATGGTATTGTTTTCTGATTTGTGCCTCAGAAGATTTAAAATGGCTGCCTAGAGTAGAAATTCGCTATAACTCAGAGATCTCTTCAAAATAAAGTTATATTATATTATACTGTATTAGATCTCAAATATTGTGTCGTCTTAATGATTTGTGCCTTTGAAATTCCTATATTAAATGGTCACCCAAATGCTTAAATTGGTGGAAATTCTGATATATCTATAATGGATGTCTTTTGATATCTGCCCATTTAATCGAGGGTAGAGTAGATGGTAAATAATTCTTACATTGTGACATATACAGATTTATGAATATATAATGTTCGTTAGGAGGGTTTACGTAAAACACCGACCGCCGACCACCGACCAGTCACTGATCTCCACAGTTGGGTACATGTGGTCGGTGGTCGGCTGACGGTCTTTTACATAAAGATGAAAAAATGCAAAATTAGAAGTAAAACTAAAACTGGGAATCCAATGACTATAGTACCTTTACCAGGTCGTGATTTAAAAACGTATAATCAATCATTTCAAATCACGATGAAAACGTTACATCGTCATGGTGTGTAATGTCATATTTTTAAGTGATGTTTCAGTTGTTAGAAGACCAAATTCATCCTGGTACGTAACATTGCATTAAGTTCATTCATATGAAACGCAATAACAAAAACACACTAACATCGTCGATGTTCACGTCGTAACTTTATGTTTGATTTCTCAATTGTTAAACGTCAACTGGTAAAAACTACATTTGATATGACAAAAAAAGCTTTCTAATGGTGTACTGAAATGGTAAGTCACTTTTAATCCCGATAAGAGAACGCATGTAACATTATATCGTGTTCAGTATTCAGTAGGCTATGACGATAACAAATCATTTTTGTTTCGAAATTGTTGAATTTCAGTAAAAAATTAGGATAGATTCCCGTAGAAACGATAGGTTGGTTAATGATAGGTTAGGACCTAAGGCAGGACAATTAATCGAGAGGAGACGGTCATGCCCAATTTGTTTGCTTGCCATTCGTTGCAAGGTACAAAATCGGTAAAAAACATTGCCTAGTCCAACGATTGACATTCAAAATCAAATTATCAATATTTTAAGGCTACAAATATGTTCGGTCTTTTACATGATATGGTCGGTCTTTTACACATTTTCTTCAAACCCTGTTTTGAGGCTACCAGTGGAAAACACCGACCGGTCGGTGGTCGGTGGGGTCGGTCTTTTCCGTAAACCCTCGTTAGGATTTACTACTCCATGGATTTGTCAATTTCTAGATTTTAATAGAACATATCATCTTCATGGACCTTATGATACCTTGAGCTTGCTCAGTGGTATCATTGGTAAGGCACAATGCAATGTTAGCGAGCTTAGTGATATGTTGAGCTCAACGTGGATCATCAAATTTTCCCTTTGCTTTAGGAGAAGATGAAATTTTAACATCCATTTTTTTCTTACTAGACTAATTTTGCATAGGTACAGACACCCACTGCCCTATCAGTTAAACCTTATTGAACATTTAAGTAAGAACATTGAATCTCCCACTCAGTTTCAAGCATCATCCGATCGCAGGGCTCCAAGATCCAGAATATTTTCTCATAGATTCTGCACACCTGCTTGGAAGATACATTTCAATATTTTTTCTACAACAAAACTCCTCTCACCCAAGAAGTTTTTTGAAAAATGACATGAAAGTCTCAACTTACCATCTACTATTGACTCGGAATCTTCTGTTACTAGATTCATATTACTTGTGAAGCCTTCAATCCTCTTGAAGAAGACAAAACAGTATTCAGCTTGCAGCTGTAAATTCTCCATATCTGTAAGATTGTATAAATATAGTTGACACAAATGAAGTCACAGTGGGGCAGTGAGCATGTTGCTTTCTATAAACAATAAAAAATTCTTAATCTATTGATTTTCATTCACTTTGCCTTTCAGATATATCCAGTCCCAATCGTAAACAAATCTTGTATATTGTGCAAGTTCAACAGATTTGTATACCTTTCGTCTGACAAAGTTTTTATATTAAATGGTCACCCAAATGCTCAAATCGGTGGAAATTCTCATATATCTTTAATGTATGTCTTTTGATATCTGCCAATTTAATCAAGGGTAGAGTAGATGGTAAATAATTATTACATTGTGACATATAGATTCATGAATATATAGTGTTCGTTAGGATTTGCTACTCCATGGAGTTGCCGATTTCTAGATATTCATAGAACATATCATCTTCATGGACCTTTTGATACCTTGAGCTTGCTCCGTTGTATCATTGGTAAGGCACAATGCAATGTTAGCGAGCTTAGTGATATGTTGAGCTTAACTTGGATCATCAAATTTTCCCTTTGCTTTAGGAGAAGATGAAATTTTAACATCCATTTTTTTCTTACTAGACTACATTTCAATAATTTTTTCTACAACAAAACTCCTCTCACCCAAGAGGTTTTTTGAAAAATGACATGAAAGTCTCAACCTACCATCCACTGTTGACTCGGAATTATGTATAACCATTTCATTATTTCTTGTAATGTAAATCCTCTTGTAATTAAAACGTTCAGCTTGCAGCTGTAAATTCTCCATATCTGTAAGATTGTATAAATATAGTTGACACAAATGAAGTCACAGTGGGGCAGTAAGCATGTTGCTTTTTGAAAAAATTAAAAATTCTAAATCTATTGATTTTCAAATTTTCAAAAGTTTTGTTTACCTTTTATTTGACAAAGTTTTTATATTCAGTTCTTTATGTATCTAAAGCAAAACACATTCAAATAAGACCAAAGGAAATACTTCAGCTCTGTTCAATACATATAATTACAGTGTATTTACGTGTTTACTTACTTCTTTTTATTTATATTAGTTTTTTGCGCCAATTTCTGTATTTGGGCGGGAATTCTGAAGTCACGTACATTGAAGTCACGTACACGAGACTTGAAGCAACGACATCTACGCTACTGTAAAGATAAAGAATACCTATAGATTGTTATGGATATTCTAAATGCCACCAGTGGGAAATATAATATGGACCTCAACATAGCATTTAGATAAATATGATAATATTTGGGTTATTTAAGAATATGAATTATATTCCTACAATGCGTAAGGTCAAAGGTCATGATGGAAGTAGAGTGAAAATATTTTACTCCACAAAATATTTGATATTTAGCAAGAAATATATAAGTGCAAGTTGTTAGTAAAACTATGAATATACATGGATAATAACCAATTGTACAATTACAACTAAATTGCTACGTATAAAGAGATAATTGATCAGGAAGTTCGGATATTTTGAACACACAAAGAGAAATTTAGGGATTGATCAACTTGTATCAGACATCATTATGACAAGATGAAAAGCGAATAAAAGGGACAGAATACCTAGTTCTCCTGGAAATCAAACGAACGCAAACACTTTGTGATGAGAACATCAAAAATGCGATTGTCGTGCTTACTAAATTTTCTCAGGATGTACCCCCAAAACCTCATACCCACAAACTGATAGCCGCAATAAACGACGCAATTATAAATACAAGTGGAATAAAAAATTAACTACCAAATTCTAGAATTGAATATGATCAGTCCCCACATATGGGTATTCTGGTGTGATGAGTCACTATTTTGATACAGCTTGAAATTCTATTTATCAACATGCATAATTTGATTTTTGCAAATCAGATGTCAGCTTTTTAAATTGCACAGTTGTTTCTTCGTCACTTAAATGTTTGCATTTTGAGTCCTTTTTTGCATGATTATAAGGCTAGGGTGCATGTTGGGAAATTTTCTGCATTCCTCAATTGAGTGACATGTTATTTTTCAAACAAGTATAACTCCTTCCCCACATTGTCTACATCTTCCAGGTTTGCACAAAGGGTGCACTTATGTGCCTAGAAAAGCCTTGTGAGAAGGGGTGTCTACAAAACAAAGACCTAAGACCTAAGACCTACAAAACTAAGACCCCCCACGTTATAAAACCAAGACCCTGTTATAAAACTAAGACCCCCCACGTTATAAAACTAAGACCCTGTTATAAAACTAAGACCCCCCACGTAATAAAACTAAGACCCTGTTATAAAACTAAGACCCCCCACGTTATAAAACTAAGACCCTGTTATAAAACTAAGACCCCCCACGTTATAAAACTAAGACCCTGTTATAAAACTAAGACCCCCCACGTTATAAAACTAAGACCCTGTTATAAAACTAAGACCCCCCACGTTATAAAACTAAGACCCTGTTATAAAACTAAGACCCCCCACGTTATAAAACTAAGACCCTGTTATAAAACTAAGACCCCCCACGTTATAAAACTAAGACCCTGTTATAAAACTAAGACCCCCCACGTTATAAAACTAAGACCCTGTTATAAAACTAAGACCCCCCACGTTATAAAACTAAGACCCTGTTATAAAACTAAGACCCCCCACGTTATAAAACTAAGACCCTGTTATAAAACTAAGACCCCCCACGTTATAAAACTAAGACCCTGTTATAAAACTAAGACCCCCCACGTAATAAAACTAAGACCCTGTTATAAAACTAAGACCCCCCACGTTATAAAACTAAGACCCTGTTATAAAACTAAGACCCCCCACGTTATAAAACTAAGACCCTGTTATAAAACTAAGACCTCCCACGTTATAAAACTAAGACCCTGTTATAAGAATCAGTCACCGTGCCTTGCTCTGCTCGCCACAAGGTAGTCTTGCCTCTGGGCCTTGTGTTCCCCAGTAACATACAACAGCGGATTATATAAAAATGGACTGTAACAAATACCCGGATTTGTTGATTTTTAAAAAAAGTAATTTTTTGATATCACTTTTTATTCCATAGTTAGCATGATATTCATAGGATAACATGTGAAAATAAAAACGGTATTTTTGTAATCAGTGGTAAAATATGATATTTTTGACAAATTTTCACTTAACCATAGCATACGTTTTTTTAGCCATGACATACGACGTCGTATGCGATGGTTTATGGATTTTTGCTACTTCAGACTCAAAACGAGGCTAAGTGTCAACATCGCCGGATCGTTTGGAAAATTCTAATTAAATCACTTAATTTCCGACGATTCTGACGATGACTTTAACCATGGAATAAAAAGAACATCCTATGATTTACTCGTGATATGATTTTAATCCACTCATGGATATTGATATCTGCACTCTCTCGCTACGCTCGCTCGTGCAGATATCATATCCATTCGTGGATAAAAATCATATCACTCATAAATCATAGGATATCCTCTATTTATGCCCGGCATAAAAAGTGATATCCCATTTTATGCTGGCATAAAAAGTGATATCCCATTTTATGCTGAGCATAAAAAGAGATACTCCATTTTATGCTGGTATTGTTTTGGAAGTGATGTTTAATGGTAGTTCAAGATTTAAGACCCATCATTCTGGCAGAGATTGCTGAACCATTGTTAGTTAAGAATTCCTAATAGAATTAAGAATTATTAGCTGAAACTGAGTTGTTTTGCCCTGGCAAACAATTTTCCAACTTGTAGTTCAACTTCTTCTGTCTATTTGTTGACAGTCTGTGATGTCATCATCAATCATCACAATAGAAATGAGGTAATTCACGATGACATCACAAAGTACTCTGATGACATCATCAATCATCACAATGGAAATGAGATAATTCATGATGACATCACAAAGCATCTCTGTCATAGATAGAACTCTGCCACATTTCTTAGAAATCAAACTACTATGTGACATCATAGATAATCTCACTGTCACAGATAGAATTCACCTAATTCCCATTGTGATGATTGATGATGACATCACAGACTGTCAACACATATAGACAAAAATGAATTTCAAATGCATATTGGGATATTGTTTGCTAGGACAAACAGAACAGTTTCAGCTATTAATTCTTAATTCTATTAGGAATGCTTAACTAAAATAAGTTGCTTCTGGTCCTTTTATAACAGGGTCTTAGACCTGTATGTTACTGGGGAACTCGAGGGATAGAGCCGAGACTACCTTAAAATTATGTATATGTGTACGTTACTAGGGAAAACAAGGGTCAGTGGCAAGACTACCATATGTGTATGTTACTAGGGTAAACAAGGGCCAGAGGCAAGACTACCATGTGTAGATTCTGTATGTGAGAAGGGAACACAAGGACCAGAAGCAAGACTACCTTTTGTAGAATCTTTATGTTAGTGGGGAGAATCTGTATATTAGAAGGGAACACAAGGACCAGAAGAAAGACTACCTTTTGTAGAATCTTTATGTTAGTGGGGAGAATCTGTATATTAGAAGGGAACACAAGGACCAGAAGCAAGACTATCTTTTGTAGAATCTGTATGTTACTGGGGAACACAAGGCCCAGAGGCAAGACTACCTTGTGGCGAGCAGAGCAAGGCACGGTGACTGATTCTTATAACAGGGTCTTAGTTTTATTACGTGGGGGGTCTTAGTTTTATAACAGGGTCTTAGTTTTATTACGTGGGGGGTCTTAGTTTTATAACAGGGTCTTAGTTTTATAACGTGGGGGGTCTTAGTTTTATAACAGGGTCTTAGTTTTATAACGTGGGGGGTCTTAGTTTTATAACAGGGTCTTAGTTTTATAACGTGGGGGGTCTTAGTTTTATAACAGGGTCTTAGTTTTATAACGTGGGGGGTCTTAGTTTTATAACAGGGTCTTTGTTTTATAACGTGGGGGGTCTTAGTTTTATAACAGGGTCTTAGTTTTATAACGTGGGGGGTCTTAGTTTTATAACAGGGTCTTAGTTTTATAACGTGGGGGGTCTTAGTTTTATAACAGGGTCTTAGTTTTATTACGTGGGGGGTCTTAGTTTTATAACAGGGTCTTAGTTTTATAACGTGGGGGGTCTTAGTTTTATAACAGGGTCTTAGTTTTATAACGTGGGGGTCTTAGTTTTATAACAGGGTCTTAGTTTTATAACGTGGGGGGTCTTAGTTTTATAACAGGGTCTTAGTTTTATAACGTTGGGGGTCTTAGTTTTATAACAGGGTCTTAGTTTTATAACGTGGGGGGTCTTAGTTTTATAACAGGGTCTTAGTTTTATAATGTGGGGGGTCTTAGTTTTATAACAGGGTCTTAGTTTTATAACGTGGGGGGTCTTAGTTTTATAACAGGGTCTTAGTTTTATAACGTGGGGGGTCTTAGTTTTATAACAGGGTCTTAGTTTTATAACGTGGGGGGTCTTAGTTTTATAACAGGGTCTTAGTTTTATAACGTGGGGGGTCTTAGTTTTATAACAGGGTCTTAGTTTTATAACGTGGGGGGTCTTAGTTTTATAACAGGGTCTTAGTTTTATAACGTGGGGGGTCTTAGTTTTGTAGGTCTTAGGTCTTAGGTCTTAGTTTTGTAGACACCCTTGTGAGAAGACTTGTTTTGTAAAATAAAAAATGAGAAAATTCAGTGAAAAACATTTCTGAAAATTTTCTGAATATTTTCACTGAATTATCTTACTTTTTATACACTTTATCAAAACATTCTTCTCACATATATATAACGCAAATACCAGTGAATGGATTTGGTTCAAACTTCATATGCTGATGCCTAAAAATATGTAATTTTTGAAAACCCAAATGGCAGTGAATGGATTTATTTTTAATTTTATATGCTAATACCTAGGGACACAGTAGCTCTGTTTGAGAAAGTTTTTAAAAATGGAGGCTGAATTTAAAAATGGCTGCCATTTTTTGTAAAAAAATAATCTTTGATAACTGAAATGCTTATTGATGGATATGGTTTACATTTTATATATATTGAAGCCTAGGGACAAACAAGCTCTGCTCAAGAAGGAATTTACAAGATGGCCACTAATAAGCAAAATATGTTTTGTTTGGTGGGATTTGCTACTCCATGGAGTTGCTGTTTTTCTAGTTGAGATGTTCTTTCAATTAAAATTGAAGACTTAGCCTCAGTTTGCTTCACCAATTTTTACCACGCCATTGAATTAAAGACACAGACTTACATATTAAGCTTGCAATAATCAGTCAATAGTGATATTAAACTACAACTACAACTAGAAATGAAGTCCAAAGGTAGTAATATACCTCATTTAGCCTCAATTTGCCTCCCCTATTTACATTTGCCTCCCCTTATGTATGATCATAGCTACACCCCTTTTAATGTATTTCAATTTTATACTTGCAGAAAATCTTGTTCACAATGTGTGCAGGGAATGAGCTGTTTTACTGTATGTTATATCTCATCTACTTCACACCAGGCCCAATTGGTAAGGAATTATATAACATGTCTCAATCAGGATGTATATGTGGGGGAGGGGGGTCTTAACTGCATATTATATCTCATCTACTTTACACCAGGCCCAATTGGTAAGGAATTATATAACATGTCTCAATCAGGATGTATATGTGGGGGAGGGGGGTCTTAACTGCATATTATATCTCATCTACTTTACACCAGGCCCAATTGGTAAGGAATTATGTAACATGTCTCAATCAGGATGTATATGTGGGGGAGGGGGGTCTTAACTGCATATTTTATCTCATCTACTTTATACCAGGCCCAATTGGTAAGGAACTATGTAACATGTCTCAATCAGGGAGGGGGGTCTTTAGAAATATATTATTTGATTAAAATATAATATTCGAGTTTAATTCAAATTAAATATCGCTTCTAGCCAAAATCTTTGTCTCACTTGGACTTTTGTCTTATTGTATTTTTGTTTCATTGTAGTTCCTCTTGGAGCATTGTCATTTGGCCTCTACTCAATGATCTGCATCCTGTGTGCACCAATTGCACTTGTGAAGTCTGGGATAGCACTGGTTCAGTTATACGCAGCCTGTGAGAATATCGTTGCCATAGATACAGGTGATAGAGCAGCCACATCTAGCCAGAAAACAGATTAAATGTTGTAATAATGTAGGTACGTTTTTGTTTCAACCCTATCATACATTTTTATCTGTATATGACACATGGACTTTTTTTGTATATGCATTCTGAGGCAGAGCTTTACTAATTGATTTAAATTGAAATGAACTTTTTCAAAAATCCACTGAATGAGTTAGGACAGATTTTCAACATGTGAGCCCTTCGCATGGTGCTATTTTTCATGCTGTTGAATTATGTTTTACAGGTTGTAGGCCCATATATAAAGTTGCAATCATTCTGTTGAATTATCTTTTACAGGGTGCAGGAACACCATTTTAAAAAGTTGCAATCATTTTGTTGAATTATGTTTTACAGGGTGTAGGTCCATATATAAAGTTGCAATCATTCGGTTGAATTATGTTTTACAGGGTGCAGGAACACAATTTAAAAAAAGTTGCAATCATTTTGTTGTATTATGTTTTACAGGGTGTAGGTCCATATATAAAGTTGCAAACAATCTCACTGGGGAGTATCGTGATGCAACAACACCGTGTTGTTGCATCAAGATGGCCAGACTTCCGGTGATAGATTTTCTTACGATATGTTGTTTCCCCGATTTAAACCCATTTCTAGGACGAGTTGCTCAATAACCATACACGTGAATTTAGAGCACGATCTATATTTAAAGAAACTGTCATTAGTATACATGTTGCATCATCAAGAAGCAAGAAGTTCACGGTTTTAGTTCCTCACTATTGATGCAACAACACCAAACCGAAGATGCAACAACACTCCTCTAGATTTGAGCAATGATGCAACAACACCAATTAATAGTATAATTTCAGAAGACCATAAATCTCGAGAGGAACAGATTTTTAAATGCTACTATTGCAACACCGGGCCAGTACCCATTTGCGTTCTTCTCAGGCATTCAAAATACGCGTCCTGCGGGCGAAGATTCTTTATATGTATTTTCAAAAATCTATACTTTTCAATATCATAATGTACTGGAAGTTGTTCTATAACATAGTTCAATAGCCTTTAACATTGCAAGCTATAGTAACCCAATCTATTACCATAAACCCCTGTTCCATAGCTTGATGACCCTGATACCAGTTAGTATCATTCAAAATGGTGGACAAACATCTTACGTTCTTGGTAAACACGACGAGCTATTGGAAATCTTGCACGGCGCACATGTAGAAGTATTGTTCTCTTTGGATTCGTTCTCCCGATTGAGTAAAAAGGTAGGTAATAGGATTTAGGTCCCGAAAAGGTAAATTGATAGAGGTACAGTAATCTCAGATTCCCCCTGGGCCCTCGGGAAATATCATAATGTGTCCCGGAATAAAACCAATGTTGAATCCTTCTCAGTAAATAACCACTATATAATAGCATTGTATAACTGCAATATCATTAAACCAACACTCCTCGGAAGTTATGGCGTTTTGAAAACTCAAAATCGCTAAATTTGGTGCCCCATGTTAAGTCAATGGGAATTTTTTTTTGAAGTGTAAAATACGACATATATACGACCGAGTACAGCTTAATTTAATGAAAGCCTTTAAATGAAAGGTACTTCAAAAGCAATCTAGCTTCAAAATTTGGACACAAAAATGTCTCGGTCAAAATCTAGGTAAAATTCAAAGTTTTCCTTATTTTTGTGATTCTGACACTACTATTCAATTATATTCTTCGAAATTGTGTATACATGTAGCCAAGAGTGTACTAATAGTGTTAGCCTTTTGCCGTCAGAAAGTATTTTAACCCACTTTTGAGATATGGTGTCCAAAAAGTAGGTCAAAATAAAACATTCTCCAGATTTAACGTTTGAGGTTTAAATGAAGAATAGAATTTTCTCAGGAATCAGAATCTACAAACCAAATTTCGATCCGACTTCCGGTTCGGAAGTTATGGTGTTTTGAAATTTCGAGAAAAATCGATCTGATGGTATCCTGCTAGAAAGTCAAGAGTAGCGAAGAAAATGTTGAAAAATCCATCCATCCTTCCATCCATCCTTCCTATCCTATCCTACTATTCCATCCTATCGTTCCTTCTTATTCTATCCTATCCTTCCTATCCCTTTTATCCCTATCCGTTCCTTCCTATCTATCCTTCATTTCCTTTCCTTCCTATCTATCTATCCTTCCTATCCTCCATATCCTTTCCTTCCTATCTTATCCTTCCTTGCTATTCTATCCTATCTTTCTTCTCTATTCTCTCCTATCGTTCCATCCTATTCTGTCCTATCCCTCCTTCCTATTTCATCCATCCATCCATCCATCCATTCATCTTTTTCTGGATGACTCGGCTTAAAAAAGTCCAGATCTGGAGTCTGAAATTGAACTTGAAGTCTAGTTATATTAGTTCTTTGTAAACAATTTCCATACGATACGGTAAATCAAGGGGATTTAATTTAGAAAAATGAATAATCTTTATTTTTCAGATACAATATCAATGAGGTTGGCTCCCGGGGATTCAATATTTAGCCTATGCTAAGCCTTAGTTTAACTTGTATATCCTTTTAACTTTGATAAAGACAAATACATTAAGGAACCAAACAAAATACGTTTCATTCATGAACCACGCACTCACGCGTTTTATTCATGTCCCGACCAACACCTATAAACAGAACATAAAACAGTTTCTCTTGATATTCAATGATAAATTATATTGGCGTTTTTGCATCATCGCATTGGTGTTGTTGCTTCATCGATAATAAACAGAGTGGTGTTGTTGCATCAATAGTGAGGAATTAAAACCGCGAATTTCTCGCTTCTTGATGATGCTACATGCATACTAATGAGAGTTTTTTTAAATATAGATCATGAGCTAACTGCACGTGTATGATTATTGAGCAGCTCGTCCTAGAAATGGGTTTAAATTGGGAAAACAAAATATCGTACGAAAATCTATCACCGGAAGTCTGGCCATCTTGATGCAACAACACGGTGTTGTTGCATCACGATACCCCCCAGTGAATCTGTTGAATTATGTTTTACAGGGTGCAGGAACTCCATATAAAGAAAGTTGCAATCATTTTGTTGAATTATGTTTTACATATAAAGAAAGTTGCAATCATTCTGTTGAATTATGTTTTACAGGGTGCAGGAACACCATATAAAAAAGTTGCAATCATGACAGAAACTTGTAGCGGTAGAAGTTAGCAGTTTAAAGATGTCAGTGTAAATCAATAGAGAAGGACAGTCAGTGTATCATCTCCTCAACAACATTTACAGAACCACCAAATACTGTAAAACTTTTCCAAAGGGAACATATTGGAACTGACTTAAACATTTACTTAAGTCTTCATATTATAAATCAGGACTGAAGAGTTGTTCACAGTTTTAGATAAGTGTTTACATTATTTGCGGTTTCTCAGTACTTGTACGGGGGTTGTCCCAGAATTAGAAGTCCTGAACACATGACTGTGTTACTCTGAGATTCTATTACTTACAGTCATAGTTGAAGTTTTGTCCCTTTAATGCTGAGTCAACTTCTGATTGATATAATGTAGAATGCAAAATTTTGTCAACAGAATTCTATAAATAAAATGTTAAGAACTTCTAGAACAGTTCTCATAAGAAACAAGGTATGACGCATTTATTAGCTTTACAAGTGGGTTTGGAACGTACACTGTGCTGTGATCGCCGCAGGCAGGGTTTTTTCTCAAGTGGGTGCAAAATTCTCATTTTCACAATTCAGACCAAAATTGGTCAAAATATGCCCATTTTTCATGATTTTTCTAATTTTCAAGTGGGTGCAAGCCTGTTTTCAAAATCTCAGGTGGGTGCAAGCCTGTTTTCAAAATCTCAGGTGGGTGCTGCACCCACTTACTTTAGTCCTGGGGAGGTCACTGTATGTACAACAACAAGCAAGAGGTAGTGTACGTGAGATTATTGATTTCATATTTGAACAAATTTCATATTTTGAAGTGTTAAGGGAATTAGAAGGGATAGAAAGGGTGTAAATGTTTTTTCAAAAATGATGCCAATTTTTTATTCATAATCCTAATTTTATTTTCAAAATAAAGAATTGGAATATTTGATCAAATTTATTTTTTACATTTGTTAAGATTTAATGCAGAAATGTTCAAATTCATGAGAAAAAATTCATTCAAAATAAAATCAATCAATTTTGCCATACAACCTTAAATTGAAGGCTTTTCCTGAAATAGAGTCAGAAATATTGGACAAAATAACCCATGATTTGGAACAATGATAGTAAAAAATATTGCAAACCTGTGACAATTTTTTGAGAGTCGTGTCGATCTCTTCTACTTTCTCTAAACACTCAAATTGATCAAGATGGGTGAATCTCAAACTGTTGTTGTCAAATAGTATTTTATTTAATCTATTTAGGGACTGTATTCAAATGTTGATGTTGCATAAGAACAAAGTACATGTTGTTAGGGGAAGGGGATTCTATGATTTCTTCTGGGTGTAAAATGTGGAATTTTGGCCCTATGGGTAGAGGTACATGTTCAATCTTGCTATATGGGAGAGGATTGGTGGTTAAAACATCAGTAGTTGGACACCGTCCTTTAGCAATATATCCACAAGTAGAAAGTCATGTTTATTGTATATTTTAGTAGCCAAAGGTGCTTGAAGTTTATTATTGTAACTACTGTATTGTATACTTATATATTGTACCCATGGTTACCATGGATCTTATTTATTGTAGGCAAAATTTAATTGAATTAATCACCAAATTAAAAATTTGACATACTTTGCATCATGTTTTTGATGAATTTCTGATTTTAGAGAATTGTACTTTGATATCAATGGTGAAATTATTTATATGAAAAATTCATGAATCATTAAAAAATAAACATGTTTTACAGTATGTGCTGAAAAGTCATCGGAATCCATTTAAACTGGTAGTTTAATGGTTAAACTACAAATTTATCCAATTATATTAGAACTAGATAATCGAAATATTAAAAACAACAAAAACAGGGTACCGAATCCATCATAATTATGTTTACATTAGATTTATGTCAATTTGAATAATTTCTTATGTTAATCTTTACATTCCAAGTATAGTTGGGGTTCACAGTCTTTAATTTAGGTGAAGTTTCTGGTCTTCCTTGGTCATCTTCACCTTTATTTGTACCTTTAAGAATATTACCCTTAGTAAAAAACTGTCAAATGATAAGTTATTTTAGTCTGAAATAATAATGTTCATAGTGACAGAATTCTTAAGACCAAATTCACGTTCTCACTTATTCAGGAATCTTCAAAGTACCTGTAATTATCTGGGGGCCATTAACAGAAACTACGTTAAGTTAAGAATTCCTAAAATTCATTGTTCTCTAACTGTGACATCATTATATCCATGGTTACAACAATTGATTTACGAATTCGTAACTTTACAAAGCTTCTGTTAATGACCCCCAGGTTATTTTGTACATAAAGATACATTTTGTAATGTTAATGGCTTTATTACTGTATGATCCATGAAGTCACATATTGTATGCATATGCCAAAGACTATGTTGTATCCATATGCCATTTCTAACTATATTGTAATTTATTTGTTTACATGATGTAGTACATTTACTATTGTTATCATGAAGTAACTTTAGTAGACTTTAAGTGTATTTTAGGATCAGGCTTAGGCAGTGGGTATATAAGTAAATAAATAAATATGACAAGAAATTACAAAATCACACTTTTCTTTATTTTTAAGTGACTAAATTTTAAAAAAGTATATATTTCAAAACAAATTGAAAAACAATGGCTGCATTCATAGATGTACAAACATGTACTTCTCTCTGGAAAAGTCCAATACTTGTAATTCACCAACTTCTTTTGAACTTAAATAAAAGTATTGAACTCATAGTTATTTGGATGAATTATCAGGTGGGTGCAAATCTATTTTTGAATTCTCGGTTGGGTGTTGATCCCACTTGCTCCAAAGCTGTTATAGGAGATCACAAAAAGGATAATGCATGCTTTTCTACAATGTAAATACATTGTCACTGTATAATACATTATTTTAATATCCACAAGTATCTCTTCATAGTTTTTCAAAGCAAATATGCATACATATTGTCACATCCGTTACACATTCAATATTCTTGATATTGGACCCTTTTTGCATAACTGAATAACACATCTGACCAATCACCTTCTCTGGCCCTTTTGAGTTATTTAAGTTCAATTCAATAAGTTGACCACTTCCATTGAACCGATTCAGTACTGTAGGAGTCACTGAAGTTGCAAGTTGAGCCAATGTTTTCTTCATAAGTAGCCTACATGTGTTCATCATTCAGCAATTCAAATTGCATAAACTGAATGTCGATTTCATTGTTTTTTCACCTTTCCCTATGAAATAATCCAATACAAGATAATCCAACTTGAGATAATCCACCATGAGATAATCCATCTTGAGATAATCCAGCGTGATTCTGAGAATTATTATGATTGAGGATAATTATAAAATGAAATACATTTGAGAAATGTATATGGTACAATAGTAAAAATATATTTTGATATTATACACTGGGCTACCTCTCATCAATAAGAGGTGTTGAATCCCCAGTCTCCATTGGACTGTCTCTGTATGAGGGAGTTGCCCTTGGGGTGCCCCTGGGGGTACCACCTGCCCTGGGAGTACCACCAGATCTAGGGGTACCACCAGAGCGTGGAGTCCGACTTGGTTTCTGTTGTTTAGCCCACATTTGAGCAGCCTTAGCCCAATCCATTCCCCCTTGTCCGCCTCTCTGTTGAGAGGCTCGCCCCTGTGATGGTTGTTGGCTGCTGCGTACTTGGGCGACCACTTGTTGAGTCCTTGGGGTGGTTGACCCTGGGGGCCAGTTACTCCTGGGGGTTGGTTGATATGAGGGGGTGGCCATGGATTGTACAGGAGTTTGAGCCACATGCTGTGCTGCTAAAGATGGGGTCATCATTGGTGTCATCATAGCTGGTGTGTTCATGTTGCCCTGGAAATACAATATTAATGTTACTTTGTGTGATCATTGATGAAGTTGCCATAGAAACAAGTACAATATTGGTCTCATCCATAATATTAATTGCCCTGGGAACAAATTCAATATTTATGTCATCACGTTAAATGTGTTTAAGTTGACTCGGAAACAAATTCATTACTGGTGTCAAAGCGGTGATTAATATTTAGTTTAATATATTTCATTTATCTTTTTAGAGACATTCTTAGAGACCTCTTTTTCACCAACTTTGGCAATTATCTTGCAATGATTAAGGTATTCAATTAAAATAAACTCAAAAGCTTAATAAACAGAATAATGTTGATATACAAACCTGGAACCCATAACTGCCACCAAATCCACCCTGCTGGAAGTTTGTACTTGCCCCATACTGGCCTGGGGTGGCAAATACACCAGCAGTTACACCCCGTTGTACCCTGGGGGTGCCAATGTTTGGGGTGGCAGATGCCATGGGTGTTCTCATGGATGGTGTCATTTGACCTGGAATTGAAGTAACAGAATTATGTAAGTGGCGACATTTGGAGGGTACATATGGTGATTCCTTATGCTATGTCATTCATTCATATTAAATTATTCTGTATACATAAAGGTATACTTTTGAAAACTTCTATTGACTCATCATTTTTCCTTATATTTTGGTCATTTTAAAAAATTTCAAAATTAGTTCAAATAAAATTTAGTAGGTCATATTTCATACTTTTCATCATATTTTGGGTCAAGTTGCAAAATTAGGTCATGGAAAATTAATTATTCCATATTATACAAAACCATATAATACAATATTATGTGAGCCAAATAGGACCTACTGATCTGTAAAATGAAGCCCTCTGATTGGTCGGTTCTTGTGCTGTACCAATCTGTATTGCTACTGAGATTGTCCCCATTGATCATCTCTGTCGCAATACAGAAACTATTGGTACGGAGGGGACAAACTCTGACCAATACAGTTCGATAAGAACGTTCCAATACAAAATTTCTCGAGCAGAATATATCCTGTATTGCACTTCAAATCGATCAATAACTTATATTATCCAAAAAGGACCTAATAATACGATGATATGTTTTTTCTACTGAAAACCAACCTGGAATCTGGTCCCTGAAGTGTTCTTTGAACCATTTGACGAGGTGATTCAGCGAGTGAAACATCTGTTGACGATATCGTATCCCATCTGGCGTGACTGTCACATACTCGTGTATGGGTTTGTTGCGGGGAAGGTACGACAGGAAGAACTTGCCAGGATATTGCTTAGTGGCAGATAGGTAGTATGGAATTCTGAAACCATAAAAGTGAGGTTAGCTACGTGTTTTTAGAGAAGTTATACATGAATGTAAAATTATGAACCCAGTGATTACTGTTCACCCTGATTTTGTTTTTCAAGACACCTAAGCACAATTATTTTCTCTATACTAAATTGAGCAAGCAAATACTTGGAAGGGGAGAACTTATCCCGAGTGCCACATGTCTACTTGTTCATGTACAATTTGACTGAAATCTGTGCCCTTAAATCAGAAAATCAATGTAACTAACAAAATCATTCAAAATAGGCTAATTATCTCAACCCCCTCCATCTGAACTTAAACTGAATAAAAATTCATGTTCTTATATTATTTCAAGCTAATGTGACTTCAGGTCGCATAAAAATTTATATTAAACCAAATCAGAAATTGTTTCCTGCTAACAAACAAAATTACATTGACTAATCATCAACCACCTCTCTTATGACTTTAAAACAGAGAGTTAATTTTCTCATATTACCTTGAAGAGGCTTTCCGTTTTTCCTCTTTTAATTTCTTATTGAGAGTTTCTTTGTTTCCATTGTCTGTCTCCAAATAGTATTTATAACTGAGTATATCTCGGGCGAATGCTGCCATTGGTTGAATATGTCTTGCAATAATTTCATCTAAATCTTCAAACTCCTGGAAAAAATTCAAGTCCTCGTGAACAAGAAAAAATGAACTTAACAGGCATATTAATAAAGTAATATTTTTTCTTGGTTAAGCAAATTTAAGTATTTGATATTGAAAGTCACAATACTCTTGGGCATTTATTAATTCGAGAGCTTACATTAAATGAGGGCTTAAACTAGTACACTTAAAACAACATAAGACAATGACTCTTCAGCAGAAATTAGTCATTTTCCTCACCTCAGTGTCTATAAGGAGTGAAGTACCTAGACTGAATGCATTTTCTTTGCCCTCTTCTCTGACATCAATATGTTGAGCTACACCATCAGTCACCTTCCAAGTCACAGTCAAGTGATCAGAACCCTATAATGATAATACAGTAACACCTGTAAATTGGAATCTCTCTCTAATACAATCACCTCTAAATGTGAACATTTTTCATCAATAGGATAGTTTCTAAATAGCAGAAAAATCAATGAAATCTAGTGCTGCCATCTTTTATTCAGCTTTTAATTTTGGTTTAAGTTACATTCACTTACATGCTAAAATCTTGGAAAAGTGGCTTAATTTCATGATTTATCAAAGTGTGTTAGTTGAATCTGTAAAAAAACTTGAATGATATACCACATGATGACCCTGTTTACGTACATGTTATGATAAAACATGCAAATGTTGATTGACATACAAATAATCCAAGGTTTTAAAGAATTTTAGCATTGCATCTATAGATATTTGGCCCAAGTTTTTTTTAATTGTCATAGAAAATTATTCAAATTACATAACTGTGTAAATCAAAGCTATTATAGGAAAAAACATTTCAATGAATTCAGATATGCCATTTAAAAGAAGGTAATGTAAGTCAGGCCCGTAGCCAGGATTTGCCAAGGGGGGGTTCAGTTTTCAAAAATTTCCAGGGGGGTACACATTTGACAATTTAGGCCCAAATATGGTCAAAATCACTTGAAAAGTGCTCAAAATGGTGAATTATTTTTAAACTGCATGATTTTGAAAGAATTTTTGGCCAGGCGGGGGGGGGTTCGCCCGAACCCTGCGAACCCCCCCTGGCTACGGGCCTGTAAGTCATCAGTCTAATATGCAAGTCTCTTAAAATCTCATGAAAAACGAGATTTAACGAGATTTCAAAAGCTATATGGAAACTATACTATTGCTGCTCATCTGAACACTTTTGGCTGGTGCCAGTTGCATTCACATTAGACAATTTTTTGTTATATTATGACTCTCTCATTATGTGCCCCATGGGTTATGTATCAAAAGCTTTCAGAATAATGTGACCTGGATCATGGTATATTTACTGAAAATACTTCCAGAATAATGCCCTTTACCTTACTAGTAATACCTACCTTGCTACTTGGCCTGATGACCACTTCTCCTTGGTCCATTGAGTCCATGAGTTTCTCACAGTCGCGATAACTTACATTGTGGAAGGAGGGGTGTGCAATGACACGTTTTACATAGGCTGAAAAATAAAAGTGAATATTAACCTCTTATCAGAAGAACTTGGAAATAGATTTGAAGCTTTTGGGTTTTACAATTAATACAAATGTAGCATGTGAAGTGTTTGATCATGAAATAAAAATCACAGGATGTTCTTTTCTAATTTACAAAGCTGATCTTTTTTTTTTATTTAAAATTTATTAGACTTAACTTATATACAAAAACAGAAAAATTTACAAAAATATTACAATGAGCTCTTTGAGCTGCTATTCATTCAGTATCAGACAATAAGAAGTAAAATTATTTCTACACAGTTCTTTGAAGTTTTTCCTTTTCTAACATTAATGTTAGGTTACCTTCTCCATTGGATACGTTGAGGTCATGTATGACGTTTTTGATTAACAGGCATTCATATAATACATTTTTTTCTACTTGAGATATACCAAGTTTTTGATTTTCATCTAAATTCAACTTGGCCCATAAGATTTTTATGACTGGACACTTCACAAAATAATGCATTGAGTCGTCTCTAGCATTACAAAATTTACATTTGTCATTTTGCTCTATGTTACACTTCTTATGATAAACACCATTTGCATGTATATTTTGGAGTATCTTCCACTGTATAATCAATAAAGAAGTGTCTTTGGTACATTTAAACATCTCACACCATATGTCTTGTGTTAAAATATTTCCATTAAGAATTACATCACATTTTCTTGCTAAGACTAACTTCTCCCTGATGTTCTTTGAAGTCAAATTTTTTAAATCTGTGTCTTTAAAATATAAAGTACCATTGCACTGTACTCTAGAAGTAATTTTATGTTGCCTTAGACATGCTTTCAACATGTTAAATTGTAAAAGTGTTTGACCATTTTTTCCTACTTTTTGAGCAAGTTCTTCATATGTCATTAATCTGTTGTTTAAAATAATATCATTTATATATATAACACCATTTTTTATCCAATTTGAAAAACATAGTGGAGATCTGTTCCAAGTTATATCTTTGTTGTTCCATAATATATTTGGATCACTGTACTCACTGTGATTTAACCATGTTGTCAATATTGTTTTGTAGAATGAGTTTAGAAAAGCTGATCTTATCTAACTACAGACTGAACCGATAATCACTACTCACTTTGTCGAGCTCTTTGTTTATTTTTCTCTTCTGCTTCTTTCCTGTCTTTGTTCTCACGTTCAAAGTCATAATACTCATCTTTCTGTAGCCTAAAATATAACACATATCATACAATAATGTTTTATTTAAGTAATCTACAATACTACACTGTCAAGGACAGGACCGAATGCTATGTCTGTGAAATATATCACTAGTTTATTGTTGTTAGTTTCTAACAGAGACCATAGTAAAATAAACATGGTGACAGCTGATTGTATAAATTCAGGACCATCATTTTTCAGCCAGGTGAACTGTTTCTTCTCACTTTACCAGTACGTAGTTGTTATATATGAGTATTTACTGTCAAATGACACCAGAATTGTAAAGTGACAAACAATTCTAAGCTTACTTCCACTTATTTTCCTTGTCGACCAGATCAGACGTCTTTGATGTCAGGTCACACTGGAATCTCTCAATGTCTATTTTTATCACACGACAATTGATAGTCATACCAATCTGAAAAAAAGTCATACCAATGTGTCATACCTCACTGAAAGATAGTCACGCCAAATTATTACTACCGAAGTTACATTCTCTATGAAAACAATCAAGTATTCTCATTGAATTGGGAAGCAGCACAGCGTTTCCATAGCAACTATATTTCCTGTATTGGCCATACATTCAAAAGATTGAATAAATTTATTGCTTTTTTGTTTGTTAATGCTTTGCTGAGTTTCTTTCATAAAATTCCAGGAATCATGTTCTGATGGTTAGCTAATTCTCTTTTTGATTGGTCTACTGGAGTATTCTGATTGAACAAGGATCAAAGGATAATCTTTTGTCCAAAGAGAATAGATAATAACTCTGTTTGAAAGGTACAAAATGAACTCTTTAAAAGGGCATCCTTTTCAAGATTTTGTAGATCTACATGTACAAACCTGTACTCTTTCCGCTGGATCTGTCACGCGCTTGTCACTGAGATTTCTCGTGCTGATAAACCCATTCACGTCGTTATCCAGCCTCACTTTCACTCCAACTGCCTGGCCGGGACAACTGTTGCTGTCAAAGTGACTCCACACCTACATACAGAATAAACACAATCAATGCCTACAGAAACAAAATAACAAACACTACTGAAATATAGAAATTGAAAAGGGAAACTAGATTCTGATCTAATGCTAATAAGATGTTTTTATCCTAGTAAATAGACAACATAAATGGTCTGTTACTTTGCCTAATTTATAAAACAGCAATAATTTATATATATCATATATCATTTTAAAGGAATCTGGCTGAGTTAGGTGTTCCTTTCTTGATAAAAGTTCATTTTTACATGAACATGGATGTTCGTCTATGAATCTCCAAATACACAGAGCTTGACCAGGATAGCTCTATTGCTTACTACATAGTCATACATCTAGGAGAACACAGTTGCTTATCTCAATATCATAAAATTGTTCATACCTCACTGAGCTCAGGGAAATCATTCTTGTGACAGAATGGACATTGCCAAAGTCCAGTTTCATCCTTCTTAACAGGGTTGGCCTGTTCCAACTGCTCCCCTTGTGGCCTCTTATGGGCAATACCTGTGACTTGTACCAGCACTAGTTTACCTAGGGGACAAACATTATAACATATAGGCATATAGGGACAAAGGCAGGGTTGGCCTGTTCCAATTGCTCTCCCTGTGGCCTCTTATGGGCAATACCTGTGACTTGTACCAGCACTAGTTTACCTAGGGGACAAACATTATAATATATAGGCATGTAGGGACAAAGGCAGGGTTGGCCTGTTCCAATTGCTCTCCCTGTGGCCTCTTATGGGCAATACCTGTGACTTGTACCAGCACTAGTTTACCTAGGGGACAAACATTATAACATATAGGCATGTAGGGACAATGGCAGGGTTGGCCTGTTCCAATTGCTCTCCCTGTGGCCTCTTATGGGCAATACCTGTGACTTGTACCAGCACTAGTTTACCTTGAGGACAAACATTATAACATATAGGCATGTAGGGACAATGGCAGGGTTTGCCTGTTCCAATTGCTCTCCCTGTGGCCTCTTATGGGCAATACCTGTGACTTGTACCAGCACTAGTTTACCTTGAGGACAAACATTATAACATATAGGCATGTAGGGACAATGGCAGGCTTGGCCTGTTCCAATTGCTCTCCCTGTGGCCTCTTATGGGCAATACCTGTGACTTGTACCAGCACTAGTTTACCTAGGGGACAAACATTATAACATATAGGCATGTAGGGACAATGGCAGGATTGGCCTGTTCCAATTACTCTCCCTGTGGCCTTTTATGGGCAATACCTGTGACTTGTACCAGCACTAGTTTACCTAGGGGACAAACATTATAACATAAAAGCATGTAGGGACAATGGCAGGGTTGGCCTGTTCCAATTGCTCTCCCTGTGGCCTCTTATGGGCAATACCTGTGACTTGCACCAGCACTAGTTTACCTTGGGGACAAACATTACAACATATAGGCATGTAGGGACAATGGCAGGGTTGGCCTGTTCCAATTGCTCTCCCTGTGGCCTCTTATGGGCAATACCTGTGACTTGCACCAGCACTAGTTTACCTAGGGGACAAACACTATAACATATAGGCATGTAGGGACAATGGCAGGGTTGGCCTGTTCCAATTGCTCTCCCTGTGGCCTCTTATGGGCAATACCTGTGACTTGTAACAGCACTAGTTTACCTAGGGGACAAACATTATAACATATAGGCATGTAGGGACAATGGCAGGGTTGGCCTGTTCCAGTTGCTCTCCATGTGGCCTCTTATGGGCAATACCTGTGACTTGTACCAGCACTAGTTTACCTATGGGACAAACATTATAACATATAGGCATGTAGGCATGTAGGGACAATGGCAGGGTTGGCCTGTTCCAATTGCTCTCCCTGTGGCCTCTTATGGGCAATACCTGTGACTTGTACCAGCACTAGTTTACCTATGGGACAAACATTATAACATATAGGCATGTAGGCATGTAGGGACAATGGCAGGGTTGGCCTGTTCCAATTGCTCTCCCTGTGGCCTCTTATGGGCAATACCTGTGACTTGAACCAGCACTAGTTTACCTAGGGGACAAACATTGTAACATAGATATGTAGGGACAATGGCAGGGTTGGCCTGTTCCAATTGCTCCCCTTGTGGCCTCTTATGGGCAATACCTGTGACTTGTACCAGCACTAGTTTACCTAGGGGACAAACATTATAACATATAGGCATGCAGGGACAATGGCAGGGTTGGCCTGTTCCAATCATCATACAACAATGAACCGTTTAGAGACTTCAATGTTTAAATCTGTGAAATAGTTTTAAGCCTGGATCCTGTCAATTGATATTTTGGCATTATTTCCAGGCTAGGATCAAGTCAATTCAGCAAAAGTCGTCTATACTAATATACATTATATAAAGTTAAACGAGTGCTTTTGGCATGAGAGTGTTTATTCAACTCACCTATATAAAATGTCTGTGGGGTTTCTGTGGTTAAGAGATTAAACTTCTCTTCACTGGTTGGAGACCTGTACGGTGTCCTGAGATCTTTGTATCTGTGATTCAATTCAGCTCTGATGTCATACAATGTGATGTGTTTGTTTCCATAGCCCTACAACATAGCAACAATACCACTGATGTCATGCAATGTTATGAACATAGCAACAATATTATTTGATGTCATTCAATGTAATTTGTTGGTTTCCATAGTCCTGTAACAACTAACAATATACACTAGATGTTGTACAATGTAATGGGTTTGTTTCCAAAGATGTCATACAATGTAATGGGTTGGTTTCCAAAGATGTCATGCAATGTTATTTGTTTCCATAGCCCTGTAACAGTTAGCTACAATATCACCTGATGTTAAATGGCAGTATCCCATTGGCACAAAATTGTTGATGAACAAAACGAAGGACAGCCACACCAAGTGGATGATTCCAAAATGTCACCACCATTTGTTACAGATGCCAACCTCCGACCACAAAAAATGGAGATCATAACAATATGTCAACACTTGGTGGTGACATAAAAATCCAACATATTAACCAGTCTTTCCAACTCCTCCGCTGTCACAAAATAAAAGACCCACGGTCCTGTGCTCACACAGTGTAGAACTTTCATATTTACAGACTTTGACTTTTTGACGTCAAAATCAGCAATTTCTCGGTAACCAGGCGAACTTGGGAAATGGCCATGATAGGTCAACTAGGCATTATGGATATGCATAAAATGAATGTGATAAGACTCAATCTGAATAGCAGTTTTAATTTGTGCGGCCAATGTTGACGGACGGATGGACGGAACAATGGACGGACAGATGCCTGGTCAATCCCATAGGCTCACTGTCTGAGCCAAAAATGGAGATCATAACATAAAAATCAAATATATTTACCTGTCTCTCCAGCTCCTCTGCAAAGGCATCTAAATCTAGATCTTTCAAGCGTTCTGGACTTTCCAGGATCTCCTCCAGGGCACTTGCAGGATTGGCATCCTCTTTTGTGTCATCGTACTCCAGGGCATCAACTGCCATCTTACGTGCCCATTCATATGTCTCAGGATGCACCCGAGAGCCATCTAGGACCTCAACATATGCTTCAGTGCTAAAACAGAGGAAAGCTTTACATGAGCATCTGTTAGTTAATGTTTTACTTACAATTTTTTAAAATAATTATCTTTAACCCATGGAATGCAGACAATGGATTTCACCGAGACATAATTAGAATTCATTGAATTTGTTATCTTTGTTTTATTCTTTAATCAATAAGAAAAAGTGAAATGTAATTTTGAACAAATCATTGAAGTTCATTTCACTTTCAATTCGATTTTATGCCATAGATTTCTGACACAGCTAAAATGTATTTAGAAAATAAACGGCAATGAATTCATTGGAAATGGTAATTGTCCATAAAATGTTGAACAAAGTGACTCGTATGTCTGTATGTTTATGTAACTTTCACTGTAAACAACTCAATTTAATGTTTTCTTTGCCATCTTGTCTCTTTACTGTATTTAAAACGGAAAACATAGAACCTTGAGACGTTGAAATTGACAACTTGTATGATAAACATTTTCTAGTTGGAGCAATTCCCCCATAATGTTTGCAATTTTAAGTTGCACTGGTGATAAATCATAAAAAAAGAGGTTTTGATCAGTTTTAAAACTGTGCATTTAGTGAAGAGTAAACAGTATATTGAATTGGTGGTGGCCATCTTGAATTTCATGGTGGCCATTTTGAATTTTTCACTATCTTTTGTTACCAGGATTCTAGGAATACTTCGTATCATATTCAATCCACTTTTTGTCAGATGTTACTTTTTATCATGTTTCCCACAGGAAGTGTAAAGAGAGAAGATAGCTAAGATTGATCATCTAACATATAAGCAAAATATTATAATACACAGTTTAACCTGTATAAAGTGGAGCACCTCTGTAATAAGTGAAACCCCTCTAAAAATGGAATGCTTCAAAGTCCCCTTAGCCATTAATGTAAAATGAACCTCTTTAAGTCATATATCTCCCAAGTGGAAATTTTTTGTGGTACCAAAGGTGTTTCACTTAAACAAGTTTTACTATAATTGTGAACAATCATAATATAAGCATAAACAATTTGTGGACCTGTAGACCTGTACATACCCATTCTCCCAATAAAGCATCCTCTCATATCTATCAGTACATAAAGTTGGAAAATATTTAACAATCTCATCATTCAAGTCCTTATATACTCTAAATTGTAACATGTAGTCTCTTTATTATGTAATTTAAAAGTCAAAGAATTTGATTTTAATCACTCTGGTGCAGAAACATCGATATCAAAATCACACGTAATTAGAATTATGTCATATACAAGATGAATTATCAACTTCTCATCGGCTATTTTGAAATATATTGTAACCCTTGCCTAAACAATATGACATTAAAAGTCTGTTGTAGATAAGATGAAATTGTTGATTCACATCCACCATTTTGATGTGATAAGATACAGTAACAGTCACTGTACCCTTGTACCAGTATAATTAATTTTAACCCTTACCTGTCTCCTAAAGAGTTTGTGTCGATTTTGATAAATCCAGCGCAATTGATGAACACTTTAGGTCCCATATGGCAAGTTGTGACCAGTTGGGTCCGGTTCTCTAGCCTGTTATTGTTCTGTTTTAAAACCTATATGTTTAAATACAAAAAGACATGTACGTTTCAGTGATAATTATTGGGACCCAATCCTCCTTTATAATTGATCTTCTAGGATTTAAAGCAATATGATAAAATCAATGAAATCTAGTGCTGCCATCTTTAATTCAGCTTTTAATATAAATGATTTAGATGTAAATACCTTCAATAAGTGGAATCCCTTTCTTGGACCAAGACCACATATGAACTGGACTAGAGGAGCAGTATGAGGGTAGGCTACGCAACGATTAACATCCACACCAACTTCATTGACACGATTCACAAACTCCAGATAGAGGGCGTTCTGCAGATCTTCCTGATTGACATATTCCTGATGAATAAAGAAACGGTTCAAATTAACAGGAAGTCAAATCTTAACATTAAAATATGTGTTTTTACCCTTTTTGTTGAACTCTTGCCGTACCTTGTATTGCCTGCTTTACTGATGTATGTTGTACTGTTATATTTTCTGTTAAATGCATGTTCATACTCAATATAAAAAATGTGTATTTTCCTGTTTACATTTCTGGGAACTTTAAATAGAACTAACATTTTTAGAGCACTACACTTTCAGAGATCCATGTACAACAAAATCACCAAAATAAACTTTCGGACTTCAATACATGTTTCCCTAAATATCTAATAATGTCCCCATGTAATTTAAACCAGTTTTCTTGTGGCACCTGCCCGGATATGCACACACCCGACAGCACCATCCTCCTAAGCAGGTATCCAGAATTCGTACCTCCTTCTTCCCCTTGCCATAACCAATTTGGAAGCGCCCGATTAAACTGAATCACATGATCTAATTATACGCAATGACTTATACATGATTTCTCTCACAGTGTTGCGACAGCCAATCAGATTGCGAGTTCTTAATCGGGGAAATGCTAACTGCTTATCGCAGGGGGTAAAAAGAAAGAATATATTCTGGATTTTGGAGCCCTGTGGTCGGAGGATGAACAGCACAAGACAACAACAATAGAGCACTTTTTCAGTGTGCTACAATTACCTGCATGGGATGGTACTTGAGACACATGATCTCCTCATCAGGATTACACAGCTGAGCAAACTCCACTAATGGATCTTGAAGACGCCTGGCTAGAGAAATAGCGATTCTCAGTAGCTTGGGGTATTCCCTGAACTCTTTCTGGAAACAAAAGAAACAAACAGTGAAACAAACATGCTATATGCATATTATATATGTATATGTATATGGATAACCATTTTATTTCAGTGTTAATTAAGAACAAAACCAGTGCTAATTTTGCACAAACCTTTCATCGCTTATGTTTGTGCAGATTTTTAGTGCACTGATTTTTCAGTACAACTTCTTGAGCAACTACCGATAATTCATCTCAAATTTGATTTCTGATTCTGGATGGAAAGATCTATTTATTTACTTTGTGCAAATTTTATATTCTGCCCAATATTATTTTGGCAGTAAAGGGGATCTTGTAGAAACCAAAACCACTCAGATAGATTGTATTCCACGAAAGTAATTTATGTAAAATAAAGTCTCAGGAGTGGTAAAATGCAACATAAATGAATAAATGCAAGAAGCTCACGCGCCTCGAACTCACTAACTCATGGTTATGACGTCATCACCTAGCTGAGTTTGTTCTGGCGCTTTAGACCATTCTGCCAACTCGGCAACCCCAAAAAAAGGTTGTTTCATCAGCCGACCTGACTAGAGGGAAGGGATGTTAATGCTCAACACACCAGAGGTAACATAGAATGCTTTACCTGTGCCAATTTTGAAGCCTCGTAAACAATCGCAAGTTCCATGTCCACAAGTTCTACATGTATAGGAGACATCTGTTGTTCACGTTCAAGTTCCTCACATACCATTCGTACATCTTCCATCACTCCAACGGCAATTCTACACGAAAAATAAGTCACTCATTAGGGAATGATAGAGAATCTATATGTGAGCTTGATATTTCAACCCAAGGGATTACTGTCCCGCTCTCAATTCACTTTTCCGGGGACCTAATTAGAATTATTTTCCATATTTGTTTATACTCAATCGGTCAAGTAAATACTACTAATAGGAGAGCTAATCCACAGAGGACCACAATTCTACACATTCACGTACAAGTTTTTAAAAAACGTGTATCCACTCCTTATTCAATAAAATTCAAAATTAAATATGCCATGCTTTACCTGGAGTTTGCCCCTACAGCTATTACATGTGGTTTCTTGGCTGCGATGAACTCACGTAACTTCTCCAGGTCTTCAGTCTGTAAAAGTAACACCATACATTCAAATTATTTTTCCTTTAAAAAATTACAATAAATACATTTTTTTAAGAATATTAAGTATCTAAATATTTGCTATTTATTTTAGAGTTAAAATTAAACACAAAGGATTAACTTCTAAGAACCAATGAGCTGATGTGAAAAAGTCACTCAAAAAAGTCACTCAAAAAAGCCAAACCTCCAGATCCAAATACAATTGCGATTTTCAAAAAAGCAACTTGACAATTGTACAAAGGCAATGCACTAATGCTGTACCCCATATACAGTGTGTCTAGAAAGTATGGGACCCCCAGAGACACATATACCAATGTCTCCATATCATACATAAATATATCATTTTTAAGCTCATCCAAAGTTACATTGATTTGCCAAGTATATGGTTCAACTCACAAATCTGAAAAGGTTACAGGCATTTCAAAACTTAATAATCAGACAAAATATAAGTTCAGTTTAGTATCCTTGAGACCTGAATGAGACTGAAAATATGGGTGTTATTGTCATAGATAGGATGGATATTGATATGATATGATAAAGCATCTTAAAAACCCTGTGAGGTAATCATACTGAACTAAATGATCAGGATGCATTATAAGGATTTTAGACATGCTCATCAAAGATGAGCTATGGACCAGTTGTAATGTAATTTACTAAACATGCTGAAAAAAAGTAAGCTGGCCGAAGGAAACTCCCAGTCAGGACTACTGGACCATTTATTTCACACACTGATCGTGATTGACCTTTCTCTATTCTTTACCTTCAACTCCCGATCTTGTAATTTGTATGACTTCATTCTCTTCAACAGATTTTCAAGACGAAGGAAGTCAGTGCAATCACCTTCGCCATCAATCATGGCAGCAAACGACGCAGTTTCCCTAAAAATATTAATCTATATTATTTTTCTGTACTAGTAAGCACAATACAATACACTGTTCTGTATATCTTCCTAAATGTTTTATTTTTTCTTCACACACTGTATTTTTGTGAAGGTGGAGCTAGAAATACGAAGAAAGGTGAACAACGAAACTATTTATTCAGATGGAATTGTTTACGGGAAATGTCTGTATGATTTGCTTACTTTTCTTGTGCGAAGGCCAGGCCCATGACGCGTAAACCGGCACTACTGTCATCATAATCATCCTCTTCTTCTAGCTGTTGGTCTGCCTGGAACGGCGCCATCTTTATCCAGTTGTAGAGCTTCTTGGCACATGCCTAGAATACAGAGAAATTCTTATGTTGTTACAGTGCTCACATACGAGGGATGTTCAATAAATATTTCTCATCGGATGTTACAATAGCAAATGAGGAAATGGTTCTTTGTAAGTTACTGTAACCAAACTTTGTACAAACTTTGTTAATAAAGTTCTATTCACATTTGCATCAATTCTTGAAAAATTCTCATTTATTCTTTCAGAAAAAATTGTTTTCATGATAAATTGTGCAATTCTATGTATATTTATTGAATGGCCCTTGCACTGTGTGATAAGTAGTCTAACAATAGGCTGTATTTTCTTAAAGTTTCTTTTGAAAATGGATGAATCTGATGTTGGAATAAATTTGGACCCATTCAATTATAACAAATTTTCAAAAACAACAAAGTGATACAGGGTGAACAAAAAATTATAACACTCTAATTAATTTTGAAATAATTTTCTTATTGAATGGCGGAATCTTCATAAATTCTCTGTCTCTCTATCCTCTCCCGTACAAGCAGTTTGCATCTGAGTTAATCCCGGTTTTTAATTTGTTACTCTAGGCTAAGCTGTCTGGGGGTTGGTAACTGAGAGATTATTAAGTGTACTGGAATGTGGATACAGTCCAGAAAACAGTTATGAGTACAAGTCACAACTGGCAATCATTGTAAAGCAAGAATTATAGATAGCACTCTAATATCCAACTTTAATATACAATATTAATATTAACAATCAAACACGATTTTGTGTACAACATTTTCCCTCTATATCTTTACTTTTTTAATATCTCGCCACATTTTGATATTTTCATGAAACAAATATTACAATCACCCCAGCCTAATATACAAGCTATTTAGCAAAACAGCTGTAATATGTTAGGCCTTAATGGCTATTTTTAGCCTACTGGCTTACAGCGCCATCTGCTGAACTTCTTACCATACTGAGTGATATTCGAGGTCTAACGTTCTATTTTTTAACCCACTCGATAATAGTGCAGTCTTCTGAACTTTTAACCATTAAATCTACGCTGAAAACTTGGCACAGATCTGTACTTGCCTTGAGGTTAAGTAATTACATAACATAGTGGGTTCCACTGGTAGCGTGTTTATAGTTCTACTGGTAGCGTGTTTATAACAGATATATTCGTAAAGCAGGTAAGCTCATAGCTTGTTATCTTGTATGTAAAGGTTATAATTTAAATGGATATGATTTTTAATTTAGAGAATAAATATTTTTAAATAAATAAAAAGGAGTTTGAAATGTTTTTACTTGTTCAAAGTAGAGTCTCAAAGGGCTCTCCTTTGTGAAAAATAAAAATATTTGTCCTAAGGTACCAATACACCATTGGAAAGGTGAGATAGTAAATTCTAATAAACCATTGGAAAGATGAGAGTTATCAGCTTTAAGGATCTGGCCTGATTTGGATATATGTTTCAATGAATACCTTTCTGACATGTTATGCCTGACAAAGTGTTCATTGTATTTTTTTTTTTACTTTCATGTTATCAATTTATTTCTAATATAAACAATTACAATCAATTACAATTACTAATTGCCAAGGTTTTTCAACATTAGCGGCAATTTAATTCATTGGAATCACAACATATTTCATACTGTGAATGTACGCGATCGAATTTTACAAAAAGTGAAGTATAAAGATTCTGTATGAGAAAATATTTGTGGTAATAGAGGTCAAAGTTTGAACATACCATCGGAAAGGGAAATGGATCAGGAAGAGGAATATTTTAAGAATATGGAGATGGTTACAGAGTTGTTTTAAAAATTACAATTGATCATGGAGAATGAAATAAATATATTACTAAATATCATTTAAGAGTATTCTCCTTTGTTCAATGAAAAATCTGATGTTAAAAAGAAAATTGGCACTATTTTCACATTTTGTATTTTGTATCACCTTGTAATTAAAATTTTTGATAAATACCTACCTTGACAATTCCTTCCTTTGCTTCTTGGAACAGTCGAGCCTTCAATTCTTTCTCTATCTGTGGGTAGAGGATTAATTTCAAGGCTCGCTCTAGTGCCTCTGTTCTCTCGTTGTTCCATTCCTACAACATTATCAAACAAATCATTATTTATATGCAAGAAAAAGGAGAGCAACAATTTTTTTGACAACCCTCGTGGAAAAGTGTTTAAGTCTAAGTGGAAAATTTATGGTTCCTCTAAAAAGTGTTCTACTTAGGACATGTTCTACTAATAAAGGTTCATTTAAGATTACTTCAATGTCCACTGTGCGTCAGTTCGTGCATCTCTAATGCCAAAAACGAAGACTAAATAAAACATTGATATTTGTTTATTTGAAAAATTTCCTCTAAAAAAGAGAACTATAAACCATGATTCAGAAGTTGTACGCCATTTTACAACTGAGAATCAAAGATATACTATATTTGTAAAGTTATATTTTCATATTAGATCAACAGGTCATCAACTTGGAAGGATGGCAGAAACACCTGAAGGCACAGACGAGTGGGGAAAAATAATTCAACGCTACAAGGGTCTCTTCAACAGTCAAACCATGAGTGACGTTCAGTAAGTTAGCACTCATACTGTACTTCTACTCAATTTGGCTGATTCGTCAGATTGTTAAAGTCCGCCAAATTAAGTAGCAACCACATTTCCGGGTAATTTTAGTACCATGTAAACTTGAAAACAGCAACTCTGCGGGATAGTAAATCCCATTGAACAAAATTTTTTTTTACAATAGTGAAAAAATGGCAGCCATTTTGAAATTTGGTAGCCATCTTAAATGTCTTCTTGAGCAGAGCTACTTTGTTTTGAGGCATCAGCATCTAAAATTTGAACAAAATCCATTCACTGATAATTGAGTTATCAAAGAATGGCTGCCATTTTGAAAATTAGAGGTCATCTTGAAAATTTCTTCCTCAGCAAGGCTCCCACTCTTAAAAATGAATTACTTGAGTATTTCCCAAGTATAAAAATTACTTAAAGTTAAATGCTTAGTTTTACTTCATTTTACTTAGGTTTAACTTATATTGTCATTTTGAGTTTTTTAATTGCTTAATTATGTAAATGAGTATTACAATTACTACAGTAAGTATTTCAATTTCTCTCCTTGCATTAGTAAATTCACCATAAATGAATTACTTAAAAATTATTCAGTAGTTCAAGATTATTTAAGTAATTTTTGACTTAAAATGAGTAGTACAATTTCTCAATATAAGTAAATGCAAGTAATAATTTTTAAGAGTGCCTTTGTCCCTGGGCAGCATCATAAAAAATTAACCAAATATATCCACTAGTATTTGAGTTATCAAATTATACATTTTTACAAAAAATGGCAGCCATTTTAAATTTGGTGGCCATATTGAAAATTCTTTCTAGAGCAGAGGTCTTACACACATAAGGCATAAGCCTATAAAATTAGAATCAAATCCATCAACTGGTATTTGGGTTATCATCTGGACAAAGAACAGATGGAGGGACGGACGGACAGACGCACGGTTGGATGAACAGACGACCGCACAGCTTCTCAATATCCCTACGAACTTTGTTTGGTAGGATATAAAGAACCAAGTCCAACAAATTAAGTAGCGCCAAACTAAGTAGAAGTACAATACCCAACACATACCTACTTCAGTAATTGTACTTGTATGGATTATAATAGGCTCATGTGAATGTCTTTTACAATTGTTGCATCTAACACCAGGTCATTCAATTCAATCAGAATTCAAGTAACACACACCTACTTAAGTAATTGTACTTGTATGGATTATAATAGGCTCATGTGAATATCTTTTACAATTGTTGCATTAAGCACCAAGTCATTCAATTCAATAGGAATCCAAGTACATGTACATGCAAAAATTCCTTGTCCTATTAACAACTGAAAGGACACAATCTCATACCCTGGTCCCATATATTTCAGCACCTACTGTGCATCCCCCTCGCTGCAAGTTATTGAGTCAAAACCAATCGCTGACCTAAATAAAGGGTTAATCTGCTTAATCTTAAGGTCAGAGCTCACTTTGAGATTTTTTGCAATTTTGAACTGAATATTCTAGTTATTCATACATTCGGTAGAATTATCAACCCTCAATTAACCTCTGGAATCCCAGGCTCTAAAATCGATTGAAACCAGAGAATTTTTCATTTTCGCCACCTTTTGACATTTTACTACATACCTATACGATTTTAGATGTTCAACTTAGACGACAGAGGTCATTTCTACACATTTTCAAACAATTTTTGTGTAAATTGGATGAAAATTGTTCAAATAAGAGCAATTTTAGTGAAAATTTTGTGATGGATTTTCTCGGCACTCTGGGTTTCAAGGTCATTTCTGAGGTGACGAGAAATCTTGTCACTCCAGGTAGTCAGAGGTTAATAGTCTAGGTACACTAATGCATCTTTTGTGCAAAAATGAAAGATGTAGACCATACGTAGAATGAGTTATGTTTATCTGGTCATGAACATGGCACATGGTCATGAAATATCACCTAAGTACACCCCGACCTTAAGCAGCTACTATCGGCCTTGCCGTCTGTTCGCTAATTCAACCGAGCGGTTTTATGATAATTGATCGGTACAGTTGCATAAAAAGTCATGTGATTACTGATAACTGTTTGAGGTTGTTCGTTCAAAATGACAGGTTAACTGATGAAAATTAGTAGGTTAAACCTGCCAGCAGGGAGTTGCATTTGTGAATGCTAAATTAGTAAAATCCACATCTTGTAATTTTTATTGACTCAATACAAGGGCAAACTGTAATATCTATTTTTGGTCGGATCCTCTTTTCCTTACTCGATTCAGCTAGATTTTGGCGTATCACTTCATCTGGGTAGAAATAAACGGAATGCAAAAGCAACTAACACTTGAGAGAAGCAACTGATATACATCACACAAAAATAGAATTTACATTACAACATACCTGTTTGTATCATATACCCTAACAAACCAATGGGAAAGTTAGCGGGCTATATCCACAGATATTGCCCAAATATAGAGCGTCTCAAGGTCAGCCTATACTGGCAGAACTCAGGCATATTTCACGTGATAATGACATAATCCCTAAGTACTGACTGACTCTTTAGACATTAGACGCCCATGTATAGCCAGTTACCTACATGTAACTTGACCTTGTCTGGGTTTCATTAGCAGCAGGCAACAGACGATTTTCACCTGTTGTTATCACAAAATCGCCTGTTGCTTTTAGGGACTTCAACTTCCCTATGTTAAATTATGATTTCCATTAATTTTACCTGTTGTTGTTTTCATTTATTTAGCCTGTTGTGAGAAATTCTAGTGAAACCCCTGACTTAACATAAAAATATTGAACGTATGTTGGATGTACTTGTGTATCCTAGAAACCTTTTTTTAATGCAATGAAATAAAAGCAATTGAGTTCTACAGCGGTGTATAAATAATTCCCCTATTAAACAAACATTAATACAGGGTGGTCAAAAAACGGCAAATTACTCCCTGATATTTTACATATTTGTACATCATTCAATTTCCTACCATCCTACTGGATTTCATAACCATCAGACTGAAAGGCACAATGTTACAGCACTTTCAACAACATCCTCCAAGTGTGGCCATCATCGCATTGTAGGCAAAGTCCTGCAAAAGTTGTCGATGACCTGACTGCATCTTTGGCGTATCCCACTTTTGAAGGATGTGTGCAGGTTTGCCAATAGCGCAATATTGGCCACTGGAGCATGTTGTTTAAAGTGCCGTGCTGACTATTTTTCCGATTTTCATCATTTTCATGACATTGTGCTAAGTACAAATGTTTAAAGGTTCAACAATTAAAGCAGAGACCTATCCAACGATCATAGAACTAACAAAAGGCTAACATCTATTTTCATTATCTATAAAGAAACCCGCTGAATGAACGTTATTTCAGCTGAAATTCCCGTATTTGAAATCTTGAAATGCTTAAGCAGGGCTCCTCTTATTGAAACTTTAAACTTATAAATGAATAAATGGAATTAAATAAAATTGAAATTGAGTGTAGCCTAACCTAATATATAGAGTCCAAGCACAACCCAACAAGATAACACAATCATACGGCACAACCAGTGAGCACAATCAGTTAAAATTAAGCCTAAACAGCTTACCCCCTCCCTCTGCTTTTATGATCCTATGTAAACAACTAGACTTACCTATATGAGAAATCTGCTATTATCCTAAACTTATCCTAAACTTAAGCCGACCAGAAACAATCGCTTTGTTCTCTCTGGGAATGAAACAGAGCGGCTAAAGTGGCCCAAAAGTTTTATTTAGAATGTGTGTAGGCATCATATGAACAAAATTTAGGTACCGTGTGCAAATTTACCAAAATTCATAGGTTGGTTCTCAATAGGAGTAGGATTTCAGTGCAGTGTGCAAAAGCAACAAATAAAATCGCAACTGGTAGCACCATAATCTATCTCTTCATTTGAGGATAATAGCAACAATTTCCTAGTCTAAATCTATATAAAAAAAACATTTTAGAAACAATATTTGAAATTTCAATTGTCATACTGAAAGGAATACTTCAATGAATGAAAGTCAACTTAAAATGTGTTTTTTTTAATCAATTAAAGGTATAGCCTGGTACACATAATATCCCCATATAAATACACCATCCAAAATTTAGGTTCGGTTAACCTTTATTTTCTAGTTTATATCAAACAGCTCATCTTTTGGGGTTTATTACAGATATCAAGGCTTGGAAGATACACACCTGTTTCTATAGAAACAGCTGACATGTTGTGCTTAGTACAGAGCATACCAGTTAACAATCAACTTGTTTCCATGGTTACTTTAACACAATTCAGGTTGAGAACAGAATGCAATTAGGATAAAAGATAGTAAATCTGTAAGAAACCAAGGAAATCTAAAAAATCAACATAGTTTTAAGTCTTTTCTAATTTTTGCATTTAACCATCAGATATTTTTTGGAAGGGTTGAAATAACTTACCATCAAGAAGCAACTTACCACTCTCACACTTATTCACCCTCACAAAATAAATCAAGACAAAACTAGAAATATCATAACTTTTTCATCAAACTTAACAACATACCTGATTTTCTTGCATTCGTTCAAAATTATGAATAAAATAAACATAACTGTATTAGTTATTTCATTGAGTTCCTAAGGAATTTCATAAATAAGTCCATGAACATGTTCACATTTGCAGGAAAGGAATTCTCACTTATCTGTTTCAAGCTTTGAGAAGTGTTAAAAAAATACATGAGCAGAGATAGTCTTATGTTTATTAAGACTTACTAATACAGATGTAACATAACATTACATGTACATGTATATCAAATAAGGAGCTGGGTCAATATTTCAATGTCCGTCAAAAAACCTAATTAAAGGATCAAAATGCATATTCTTTGGCAAAATGTTACTTTTGATCTTTATAGTCGTGTATTTCCAATGGATTGTTAAGTACCGGATCTTTCATTTGTCACCAAAAACAGCTCAAACAGACCACATCAGAGTTGACACTAGCTTATCAAAAAATATTTTCAATCTATCAATTTATATCTGTCAAATTTTTAGCAATGCCAATGAAAGATGGTGAATTTTTTGCAACACATTATTTATTCAATTTTGATCAAACTTCAACCATTCGCCATCTTTTAATCCAATAGTTATTTAAAACATACACTTTGTAAAAAGTGGTAATTCACTTTTTTTGATCACAGGATTTCAAATGCTGTTGTCTATGCGAGTAATTTTTTTCACTTCAGTATTAACCTGAATTAGAGTTTTCATTATCATATTTGATTGAGTGGTAACATGTCTCAAATAATACTTTATCCCTTTTCTTCAGAACTAGGCATATTGCCTATATAGTTTAGTTAGGTCTTAACCCCCCTCCCCTTCTAACGAAAGTCAAAATGTTGATTATTTGTGTGCAGTGTAAATGAGCCAAAATGTTGCTTTGCATACAGTGTAAAAGTACAACCCCAGCATATAACAGCTATTGCTATAAACAACACATACTCTTACATAGCTGTTGTACATTTAATAATCATACCATCAACAGTATCCATAAACAAAATACTTGAACTCTGATTGCAAATGTTCAATCGAAGTGACATGTAGTTTCTCACTTTACAGTCTCGGTATACAATTTTGCCCGTCGACCTCTTGAGAGGTCAACAATTGTATATTGTATTTTTCTTTCAGGTTCAGTTTTGGTGGATCTAAGGGGCCAACAGTCTATGCTCATAAGGTTATACTAGGAGCAGTAAGTGATGTGTTCAAGACTATGTTCTACGGGGACCTCAAGGAGACAACTGATGTCATTGATATACCAGACATTTCAATGGAGATCTTTCTTGAAATCATGAGGTAAATGCTTAGATCTTTCTTGAAATCATGAGGTAAATGCATAGATCTTGAAATCATGAGGTAAATGCATAGATCTTTCTTGAAATCATTAGAGGTAAATGCAACGATCTCTCTTGAAATCATGAGGTAAATGCATTGAAATGACACCATTAATTTTTGCTATAAAAATAATTAATGAACAAATGTATGGTTTTACAAAGATGAAGAGATTCAATCTGAATTTAGGAGAAACATAGGCTTTATAGCATATACAGAGTTTTAGAATTTTTGGACATGATATACATGTACTACAATACAAAATTGTTCTTCATAATTTCCATTTTAAGATTCATTCACTATGGAGAAGTTAACCCAATACAAACTTATTCTTCAAAATTTTCTTAGTGATAATTTCTTCCATTTTAAGATTCATTGAGAAGTTAACTGAATACAAATTTATTCTTCAAAATTTTCTTAGTGATCTTTTTTTCCATTTTAAGATTCATTCACTATGGAGAAGTTAACCCAATACAAACTTATTCTTCAAAATTTTCTTAGTGATAATTTCTTCCATTTTAAGATTCATTGAGAAGTTAACTGAATACAAATTTATTCTTCAAAATTTTCTTAGTGATCTTTTTTTCCATTTTAAGATTCATTTACTATGGAGAAGTTAACCAAATACAAACTAATTCTTCATAATTTTTTCCATTTTAAGATTCATTTACTATGGAGAAGTCAACCTAACGCCAGAAAATGTCCTGGAAATTTTCTACGCCACCAAGAAGTACCTAGTTCCAGGCTTGGGTGAGAAATGCAGCAAATATCTTGATGAGAGCATTGACCTCGATAATGTTTGCACTATACTGGATGCCTCCCTAAAGTTTGATGAAGAACCTTTGAAGAAGAAATGCCTTGAAATGATAGCAGAAAACACAAGAGACGTGTCGGCATCGGATGCATTCTTGTATTCTTCAAATGGTGTGCTCGGATCAATTTTAGATCAAGACATGCTAGATATGCAGTCGGAAATTGATGTATTCCGGGCAGTAGAAAAATGGGCAAAGGAAGCGTGTAAGAAGCAAGATCTTCCCGTCACTGGTGATAACATGAGGGAGTTGATTGGTGATGCCATCTACAAGGTCTGTCTACTTGATCTTACAACTGAAGAGCTTGGGAGGCACATTTCTCCAACAGATATTCTTAAACCCCATGAAATTAAGGATTTACTGGAGTGTATAACGAATGGAAAACCATGCGCAAATCCAAAGTTTAACGCGAAAAGAAGAGTAAAATTCAATGAAAAAGAATGCAGGCGCTTCACTTGCCATCACAGCACCGTTCATTGGAATTGCCCTGGAAACTGTGATGCACTAACATTCACAGCGGATAAAGCAGTTGTGTTGACGGGACTGGGGGTATTCGTACCTTGTAAAGCCACAACTTATAACTTCACAGCTCTAGTCCAGATACTTGACAAAACAAACACAGTCTTATATGACGCTAAACATGAATTCACGCAAGATGATGTCAAAAACGGAGATCTGATACAGAAAATTGTTTTCGATAAGAAAATTGAAGTAAATTCTCAGGATGAATATTCTGTTAAGACATGGCTAAAGGGGCCTGAAACATACAGAAGTAATGACATGTATTCTCCAGTTACAGTTGACAATGTTACTTTCACATATTCAAGAAACCCAAATTCAACTAATGGTACATCAGTTACATCAGGCCAACTTCCCTGTCTTTATTTTAAGCCTATAGCTTAGGTATATAAAAGACATATTATACCTACTCTTGAGCCTTTAGTTAGGTATATAAAAGACAGATTATACCTACACTTGAACCTTTAGCTTAGGTATATAAAAGACAGATTATACCTACTCTTGAGCCTTTAGCTTAGGTAAATAAAGGACATATTATACCTACTCTTGAGCCTTTAGCTTAATTATATAAAGGACAGATTATACCTACTCTCGAGTCTTTAGAATAGGTATATAAAAGACAGATTATACACACTCTTGAAATTGAAAGTATTTTAAGCCTTTAGCTTAGGTATATAAAGGACAGATTGTACATACTCTTGAGAGTTTGTTTATTTCAATCCTTTAGCTTAAGTATATAAAGGACAGATTGCATGTACTCTTTGAGAGTTTGTTTGTTTTAAGCCTTTAGCTTAGGTATATAAAGGACAGATTGTACATACTCTTGAGAGTTTGTTTATTTTAATCCTTTAGCTTAAGTATATAAAGGACAGATTGCATGTACTCTTGAGAGTTTGTTTGTTTTAAGCCTTTAGCTTAGGTATATAAAGGACATATTGTACACATTCTTGAGAGTTTGTTTATTTTAAGTCTTTAGCTTAGGTATATAAAGGACAGATTGTACATAGTCTTGAGAGTTTGTTTATTTTAACCCTTTAGCTTAGGTATATAAAGGACAGATTGTACATACTCTTGAGAGTTTGTTTATTTTAACCCTTTAGCTTAGGTATATAAAGGACAGATTGTACATACTCTTGAGAGTTTGTTTATTTTAATCCTTTAGCTTAAGTATATAAAGGACAGATTGCATGTACTCTTGAGAGTTTGTTTGTTTTAAGCCTTTAGCTTAGGTATATAAAGGACATATTGTACACATTCTTGAGAGTTTGTTTATTTTAAGTCTTTAGCTTAGTTATATAAAGGACAGATTGTACATACTCTTGAGAGTTTGTTTATTTTAAGCCTTTAGCTTAGGTATATAAAGGACAGATTGTACACATTCTTGAGAGTTTGTTTATTTTAACCCTTTAGCTTAGGTATATAAGCTTTTATAAAAAAAACAATTATAAAGACAGATTGTACATTCTCTTGAGAGTTTGTTTTCATATACATATATTACAATCGGATATCTAGATTAGATCTGATACATCCCACTTAAAAAATGAAATTTGAAAAAAGTTTTTGTTCAGTATTCCAGCTTCAAATTCTATTCAAGATAAATAAATAGTAATGTATATTTACTAAAAATGATTCTAATGTTTCTCTCTGCAATGATAATTAATGATTTTGTAGCTAGAAGTGCTAAACTGCTTCACGTTACAGCAATTTTCAGAAGAATTGAGAAGCTTCCATAATACCTTGGAATTGCTTAAGGAAAAAGAATGTTATTCTGCTCATTGTTAAGAGACACAGATCGTGTAGCGATTGAGGTCTTTGGCAATAGCCAGCATAAAATCTGAGGTCATAGATTTGCCATAAATCATGGGATCTAGGTCTTTGTTACGATTCCAATATGATAAAAAATGAACAAGAAAAACAACTTTTGTGATGTCCCGCATCATATTAGAATATGATATATTACCAATTTCCAAAGGATATGAATTCAGACAGGTGCATGTTATAAACTTAAACCTTCTCATGATATACAAATATGCAAAGGGTATCAACTATCACGTAAATGTTAGATTAATTTAGTTTCAACAGACTAGATCAAAGAACTAATCTTGACTTACATCATTAAGAATTCAAAATTCAGTCAAAGTGTTTTATATGTTTATAATATCATATTTGAAATCTACATGAAAAATTGCATCTAGAAATGTGGTTTTTGAAAGTCTTTATCAACTTTGAAAATTTAATTTTCTTTGAAAATGTGACTTCTAGGTCTTGGAGATTTTCTTTTCTATCTTACTTGAATTAGCCACCTGGTGGTAAAACCACCTACTCGCATCTAGGTTACTGAGCAATTACATATACACAATACGTGAACACACTAAAAATATTATTCTCTCATCATACTGTACGAGGGGTGATCAATAAGTAATGGGCATTACTTATTGATCACCCCTCGTACGGGGTCCCAGAAATACAACTTTTTCATTTTTTTATTTCCCCATCTACATTCAATTATTGAATTTGGCAGCTGTATAGCAATAATTTTCATGGCCTGGATACTACGAGGGATTATACAAATAACACTATAGCATACCTGTACAAGATGACTGAACTCGTCCCTATGGTAGAGTTGCTTGATCTCCTCCAGGTATTGCTGGGCTGGGGAGGAATCCTGTGGGTCCATGGAGATGCGGATCTCCAACAAACCATCATCTTCTGCCTGGAGAATGAAATTGTTAGTCAGCTAATGGAGAATGAAATTGATTGCCAGTTAATGGACAGCATTATGTTTCATTGTTCTTTAACAAATCCTATGAGTTACAATATTTTCAATATGTTTAGGATTCTCTAGTATTCTTTTGAGTGGAAGTGGAATCAAAAATATATCTACCTATGTTACAAATATCATAAATATGTTATTATACAGATATGATCTTAACAATACTGGGATAAATTTTAATATCTTTTTCAGAATTTGAAACTGAAGGCAACAGAGTATGTAACGCTCAGTTTTTGACATTATAAAGCTAGCAGTGTCCTATATCTGACATTGTCATTCTCGAGTATTTTGATGCCATAATCCCACAAAAATTGTTCCCAGTAGGGTCGTGAAATGTGTTAACAATTGATTTACGAATTCTTAACTTTACGAGGATCTTTTAATCGGTTGTTTCTTTCATATTTAATCTTACCTGTTTCATTTTCAAGAACTGATCTCCTTTCAAGTCCTTCACTGGTTTATCTCGGAGATATTTGAATGTGTAGCAGGCGTGGGACTCATCCAGTTCCTATGGGAACAGCAAAACACAAAGCTTGTGTTTGATGACTATGATCTTGTTAAAAGAGATTATCCTATATGAGGTTCAGGATATTGGGATTATCCCGAGGCCAATATAATATATCTGCTCAAGGCCGTAGGTCCCGAGGGTAGATATATTATATTGGTCAAGGGATAATCCCAATATCCCGAACCTCGTATAGGATAATCTCTTTAAACAAGATCATAAAAATGCCATGGGATAAAAAGTATTATCCTCAGGCAAGGTCAATGGACAATTGTGACAATTTATATTTCGTTATCTATTCAAAATACATATAATTTATTTGCGATTTTTTGTTATTTTAATTCTAAACCAATGGTGGCGACATATTTCCTTATTTGGGTGAACATGTGCAAATATTACTCACAATACCTTCGACTGTAATGATATCTATAATTGACAACAGTATGCAATATACCTTAAGACCTTTCTTGGTTGGGTTACAGTTGATTTTGGCTCTCTCATAAAAAGTTTGTCGCACAACACTCCGTACAAGAGGTTCATGTGCCAGTTGCATAGCAACCATATGTCGTGCTGCTTTCATGACATCATCAACAGATGGAAATGCCCTACAATCAACAAGATTGTGTATGTTACAAACAAGTCAAATAGGAACCAGTAATACAGGGCAAATCAAAAAAAACGCAATAAGTAGTTATCTCGTAAAATCACAAAACTAGTGATGGCTACATCAATTTTATTCAATGTACCATAAAGCCATGTCTCTCCTCTTTGCAATGATATGTCATTCATTCACATGTGGTAATGGTTGGGTGAGAAATCCTTCCATTTGCACAGTGGGTCAAAATCGGCTCTGGACCAAGTTTTAGATATTGAAAAAATCAGTGCAAGGGCTAAGTGCCAATGAAAGTTCCCCTGACTTGAATTGTTGTGACTTTTTCTTTTGGAGCTATCTCAGGAGCATCTGTGCTCACAATTCCTCCACCAGATATTGCAAAACCTCGAGAAAGAATTGCCCATGGGCTGCTTTTCTCTGCTTTAACCCACAGATGACTCAGGGCTGAACCATGCATGGTGTGGACATATGAGCGCATCTTTATGTGCAAGGAAGTGGTGGCAATTTGGAGGGGTATAGGATGTATTCTTGCAAGAGTATGGGTATGAACACTTTACTGTCTATTATATGCCACACCTGTCACACCTTCTTCCAATAGCCCCTATGCCCCTTGTACTGACTTTTGCAATGTTTAAAACTTGGGTCCGAGCTGAATTTTGCCCCACTTTGTAAAATTAATGATTATTCGGCCAGAGATGACTCCCTGTGAATGAATGATATTCCATTGCAAAGAGGAGTAATTTGGCTTTTTGGTACATTGAATGAAAACAATGCAGTCAGCATTAGTTTTATCTATTCTTCCAATATTGCATCGGGCTCCATACACTGACTTTTGCGATGTTTATAACTTGGTCCCAAGCTAATTTTGGCCCACTTTGCAAATGGAATGATTACTCGCCCAACCATGACCAAATATCAATGAATGATATATCATTGTAAAGAGGACACACATGGCTTTAAGGTGCATTGAATGAAATCAATTCTGTTATCACTGGTTTTGTGCTTTTCCGAGATAATAATCTGTTGTGGTTTTTTTGATATGCACTGTATATGTATGCAAATATATTTATTTACTAAATACAATAAGCCATTCTTAATATGAGTTTTTTAAAATACATGTAGGCTAGGGTAATTTAATACTCTACAATGAGGTTTATTCACAAATTATCATATAACAGTACATAAGAATATACATATTTTTTTATTTTGATATACATCAATGGAATGCGTTCCACAGCAGGTTTAATTCTATTGCTTCCCCTCACCCCTTGGCCAAAATTTATTTCAAAATCATGCAATTTTTCACCATTTTGAACACTTTTTAAGGTATTATGGGCCAAAATGGTGAAATCTAAGCCCCCATTGAATTTCTTAAAAACTGACCAATTCCTTGGCAAAAGCTGGCACAACATTACAAAAGCAATTTAACCCTGCTCTGTACCAAGTACCAATGACCCTCAATGAACATAAATCAGAGTCACATTCCGACACTTACGAGCAAATGAGTTCTTCAGCAGCTTCCTTTGGTTCAGTTGGGGCTTGGTCCACTTCATGACGCTGGTAGTTATCACGTAGATTCTCACCAAACTGTTCAGGGGTCAGGCCAAACTTTTTAGCAAACTCATCTGAAATTAAAAGAAACAGTTCTGGAATAAGCATAGTATATTCTTTGTAAAATGCTCTGAAATTAAAAGAGTTATATTAAATAAAAGAGAGTAAAATTCTGAATTAAGGAGAGAATTCTATAACAGGGATATTAAATGGGAAAGGGGAAAGACAAAAGTGTATTGCAAATTACAGCAAGGGAAGAAACATTTACAACCAGCCATATGAAAAACAAACCTCAATATCGACAAACAATGTCTAATCCCCCTTCTCCCTATCATTCAGATTTGTAAACACCCAGGAATAAAAAGAATGAATTTTACAAAAATATATGCTACACAAAATTCCAATGTAGTTTAAAGAATGAAATTTTAAATTAACATTTTGAATGCAATTATCCAAACTTTTAGAGGGAGGTGTACATCATACCAAGACCAGCTTGTTGACAAATGACATAGCCACTTTTCCTATGAGCTTGCTTCAATGTTTCCTTTGGCTCATCATCATTGGCTTCTTCATCATCTTCAACATCAACTTCAATCTCCTTTTCATTTCCCTCATCATCAACGATAGTTTTGGTGGTTTTCCTCTTTGTTTTTAGGGCATTCTTCATCTTAGGCACATCACGGCCATAATAGAGCAGGAAATGCTGGTATATGTCCTTCAGTTCCTCTAGGCTCTGGACAGCTCTTGCTCTATAAGAATGTACAACTAATTTAACCATTGTATTCAGTTTTAGCACCTACAGGTTTCAAATATTTGTCTAAGGACATGTTTATCTTGAGTGACTTAAGTTTCATCAAGCTCACGTTTTCATTTCATTATAATAATGAATGGCATTGATCCCATTAATGTCAAATGCTTGAAAAGATTCAAGCATTTTAGGAGTTTTGATTCACATATTGTGGAATTTTAAGGAGAAATAGAAACCCAATTTGTCCAGATATTGTGTCTATTTAAATCTATTTGCTCAGATATCTATGATGAGCTATTTGCTCGATTTCAGTTGCTTCAGAGAAAAACACTGACAACCTAAACCTTCAGCAATAAATCACAAAACACTTGAGACTCAATAGAAAATCAATAACCTTCTCACACCATAATGTCCTTTATGATCAATTAATACCCTCACCTGTCAATATCCTCCTCAGTTAATGCCCTGACATTACTGTCCAATGGTACATCTGGGTCACTATTCTGTTCAAATTGATATTTCTGCATCTTCTCAAACAATCGAATTAGATTATCTTTCCTTAGCTTCAGCTGGGTCCACTGTAACAAATGAAAATGGCATTAACATAGCCTCAAAAAGTGTAACAAGTGTCACTACTGACAACAAGTGTAACTCACAAAATATGGTGGCTTTAACAAGTTGATTTTGACTTGACAGTTGCTTTGCTGAGAAATGCACTCGGATTTTCTTACAACTTGGTGGTCACGGTTTCTAAATTTGAACCTGCCAGGCAGGAATTTTTGAATCAAACTATTTTTAGGTAAAATTAAGTCAAGCTAGTGTTTTTGTTCAATATTGTCAAAACTGTAAATATACAGGGACTTTTGACTTGCTTGGTATATCAACATTCTCAAAGTCAATTGATGCTTTCAGTCAGTAAATTTTAAATTTAATTTGTAATCATTTGTAAGGTTGTTGTACAAACGGATGTTTGTTATATTTCTTTTGAGATATTATTGCCCTTTTAGTTTTCACAGCAATTTGGATGAGGACTTTTTCTAAATGATTATCAATGGGTGAAGTCAGGCATAAGGCAAGCCCCAACCAAATTTTTTCAGAAAAAAGAATATCCGGACTTCCTTTATAACTGAACTGTGAATATGATGTCAAATAGTAGCATTATATCCTCCTTCTCTTTAATTTGCCTCGCCTATTAAAATTTGCCTCACCTTCTTTGAGGCCCTGGTTATGCCTCCTTTATTCTTAGATACTGAACCTACCTTTTCATCCCATCTGTATATAGTCCAGAGGTCATTAATGTTCAATTCAGGTTCAACATATTCTTTCCTATAGAATGCTATGAATGGCACCTCAAACTGTTGATTTCGCATGAAATTAAGAGCATCTCTGATTTTCTGTATTGTTCCTGGTCCCTTGCCTCTGCCTGAAGCCTCATACTGGTTGCCTGATAGGTCAGTTGGGTCAACATCCTGAAATTGAGATATCATATTACGTCACTAGGGTCAACATCCTGAAATTGAGATATCATATTAGGTCACTAGGGTCAACATTCTGAAAATTGAGATATCATATTAGGTCACTAGGGTCAACATTCTGAAAATAGAGATATCATATTAGGTCACTAGGGTCAACATCCTGAAATTGAGAAATCATATTAGGTCACTAGGGTCAACATCCTGAAATTGAGATACCTTATTAGGTCACTAGGGTCAACATTCTGAAATTGAGATACCATATTAGGTCACTAGGGTCAACATCCTGAAATTGAGATATCATATTAAGGTCACTAGGGTCAACATCCTGAAATTGAAATATCATATCAGGTCACTAGGGTCAACATCCTAAAATTGAGATATCATATTATAATGACATATAAAGTAACATTTTATTTGTCATTTGAAGAATGTAATCCTATTTGCTATATTTACTGTTATTGAAAATTGTATACCGGATGTACGTTTGGCCCTAAAAGGACATCAGTACTAATAAATCCTATTCTATATATTAGGTGACTAGGGTCAACATCCTGAAAATTGACATGATATGTAAAGTAACTAGGGTCAGCATCCTGAAAATTGAGATATCATATTAGGTCACTAGGGTCAACATCCTGAAATTGAGATATCATATTAGGTCACTAGGGTCAACATCCTGAAATTGAGATATCATATTAGGTCACTACGGTCAACATCCTGAAAATTGACATGATATGTAAAGTAACTAGGGTCAACATCCTGAAAATTGACATGATATGTAAAGTAACTAGGGTCAGCATCCTGAAAATTGACAAATGATGTACATCTGTATAAAGCTTTCCTCAAAATCAAAATCAATAGAACTCCATATATTATACTTCTATACAAATAATCTCCAAACAATGTTAAAGGCCCATTGCAAAGTTTCATCATTTTGATGTCACTTACAGAGTGAAAACCTTTTGAAGAAAAAAAAAAAGTTCTAAACCAACTTTTTCTAAATCATGCCAAACTTTCAAAATAAACCAATGTTGATTGTCTAACTCAGTTGAAAAGGAGAATATATTATATTTTATATATTACAGTGAGAACTAAAATTTTAAAATGCACTTTTTCTGAAAGACTTTCATGAATGGATGAGTTTATTTCTCGCTTATTTTTTCAACAAAGTGAGGATGAATGCTATGCATTGGTGTGAATTATCTCTTATCAAAGGATATGTGTGACCTCTAAAATTTAGTTTTAAATAATTCATGATATTTTGAACAAAAAGACCTTCAAAAACCACTTTTTGAGATTAAAACAAAAAGTTTTACATATCTCGTTTTAATAATATTGGGTAAGACTACAATATAAGCCAAAATGGTTTAAACTTTATATGGGGCCTTTAAAGAGAGTTAAAAATAGCTGCACACATAAATAATATCCAATACAGTACTTTTTAGTATTTGACCCTATTTCAAAAAATGTTCAATTTACAACCAGAAAATTAATAAGACTTTTTCTCATTGTACAAAAATCAAAACTTGGAAAAGTTACCTAGAACTAGTTACCTATAAGGCAATCTACTGAATGCAAATATTTTAGAAAATTTCAAGGCAATCATGTTTTCAACCTTTGTCTTGAATCACAATATCACTCTACTATACCTAACCCCTAGAAATGCATAAGATACTCTGTTTGTCTAATTGAATTGTATAATATATTTTTGAAAGTGTCTTATTAACATCTAATAACCAATAAACCATTAAACCAATAAACCATTAATAAGGAACAGACACATAAAAACAAATTACATAATCATTACTAATAAGTCAAATGGGTTGCTCATGAACACCAAATGCAAGGTATAGAGTGATATACTGCACATACTTATTCTTATCAAATTCACTTTATCTTTAAGTGTGGACCATAATCTTGTTCATAAATAAATAGAAACTACATGTACATGCATTAAAATCTGCACTTTATATGCCTTTAAAGCTCCACAGACACGACAAAGAACGGTGTATACTGAATGAACTGATTCACATATAAATAGAAGCTGCATACGGTTTAATACTGCTTTGTACATTATCCATTTAAACATCAATATACGAGCAGGAAATGAATGGAGAAATTTCGTCCATGGGATTTCCAGTTTTCTGATACATGGTCGTTCATGGAATTTCCAGTTTTCTGATACATGGTCGTTCATGGAATTTCCAGTTTTCTGATACATGGTCAGAGTAATGGAGTGAAATAAGTGTTATTTGGACTAAACTAAAAAGAGGGAATATAAGACGAACCACAGAGGAAGATATACCTACAGACATGACAGATAGAGCTGACATGGCTAGTGAAAGCACTAAGATAGATATGTGAGTATAAAGTATAATGCATATGCAATGATTAAAACAATACAGACAAACCATTGTGAGTCAATAACATAATTTATTCCATAATAACATGTTTTCCCTGGGAAATAAACAGGGAATAGAATTGGTATTCACAAAATTCCGTATCAGATCCCGTATCAGCCAAAATCCTGGGGATTTCTCTTGATCCTTTCATCTTTCGTCCTATTTTAAAACTCATTAATAAAAGCTGAACATGTTATATGATAAATCAAATTGTATAATTTTATATCAACATCATTGGATGATGACAAATCGAACTTGAAAATGAATAAGTTTCAAAAAAATTATCATGGAATAAATAGGTTATTGATGGTCGTGATGGAATATGAACTTTTTCTTCCAGAAAATATTATATTACCCTCGGAAAGTATCATATTGACACTCGGGCTGTTGTCCTCGGTCAAAATGATATTTTCCTTGGCCAATATCATATTTTCCCTTGGAATAAAATTTATATTCCAACCCTCCCTTAAAATAACCTCTATATCCTCTCGAAGTTTTGCCTCGCCTATCTAAAATGACATTGCCTAGCCTACCTTTTCAGAAGGGAACGATTGAATAGAGAACACTAAATAAATGAATTGTTATGCCAACAGCAAATCTTCAAAATTATTTTCTTTATTTCAGATTGAATTTTGATGATCGTTTTGCCAGAGGTCAAAGAGAATATGAACATGGCAGGTTTATAAATGCTGAAAAAGAATATGCAAATGCATTAAAACTTGCCAGTGACAAGAAGGAGACGAGCACATGTCTTGAAGCACTTGGGGACATCTACTTGGAATACGGGAAACATCGAAATGATAGAATATGCCTGTTAAAAGCAAGTGCTCTTTATAATGGTGCAAAGGTGAGGTTGAACACTGAAGATTTACAGCTGGATGTACTGAAGACAAAAATCGCAAATATTGAATGTGTAATGTTGGAACTGTTGGGAAATCTCAAAGATGGCTCCAATGTTAAATCAGATGAGAAAACACAGATTTACAAATCCACACTTGATGAGATACGAACAAACACAGAGAAAATGCTCAATGATATCAGCGCAACTGGACCTTATGATGCAAAAGCTGATATCTCTACAACTGAGAGAATCAATGCAGAGTCCAAACACACTGAAAAGGTTATATGTGTTGCAACTACACTTGTTGAAAGAATGAAGGCAATGATACAAGAAATGGTGAATGATTGTTTGAACAATATGGAACCAATGACCTTTCCATGGGCATTAATTGGCCTAGGTTCCTTCTCACGTCATGAGATGACGCCATACTCTGATATCGAATTTGCTGCTCTAATTGGTGAGGGTTCAGATACGCCACAAAACAAAGCAAAACTTGCCGCTTTATGTGACTTCTTCGAACTCAAAGTCATTAACCTTGGAGAGACAATTATTCCAGCTATGGGTGTTGAATCCCTAAATGACTATTCCGAGGGTGGGGAAAACTGGTTCTACGATTCAATCACACCACGAGGATTCTCATTTGATGCTGATATGCCAAAAGCGTGTAAGTTTCCGAGAGGTCTGGGAGGAAATGAACTCATCCAGACCCCATCAATGATGGCTAACATACAGAACCTTAACTCCTTTGGCCCCGATGGTTTGGCAGAAGTGCTCACCTCAGCAACATTTATAATGGGAGAAGAGACCTTATATGATGACTACATCATCCAATTGAAAGAATCATTAAAAACTGGGAATACTGGACAAAAGAGAGCACTAACGACAATAAGAGAAGACAATATCAAATATGGAACACCATTTCTGGGAGATGGAAGCGAAGGGAATATATTCCATGTGAAAAGGGAAATCTTCAGATTCCCAAGCTTAATGATTATGAATCTTGGGATGTACTTTGGGGTAGTGAGCAAGCCTCCATGGGAGATCATATCTGAACTGGAGTCCATGGGAGTATTATCAAGAGATATTGCACACAACCTAATGGTCCTGTGGGCAATAGGCAACCAACTAAGACTACAAACGTATTGTGCCATTAAAGCACAGCGTGACAACATCGCAGTTAGAGAAAAGTTTAAGTCAACTACAGAAGATGGAACCACACTGATTGATGACGATTCTACATTTTATCTGCACAATACGGATATCATCACAAGATTCTATAAATCGGCTGTACCATTAGAAACAATCATGGATACCTTTACACTGACAAACACAGTGACGGGAAAATGTTTTGAGGAAAATGCGATGATTGATGGCCTCGTTTACATGCGATTACTGAGGTACACAGATGCTGTAACATCCTTCAGCAAGGTTTTGGAAGAAACACCGCATGATATGATTACATTGTCTTACTTATGTACTGTTTATTGTGCGATGAATGAAAATGATAAAGCTTGTGCGATAAGTAAGAGTGCAATTGAATATGCCGAAAAAAATGATGTGGACCAATCACTCATTCTCCGTATGAAGTGCCAACTTGGACTTGCTAATCTTTATACATATGGTGACTATAAATTGGCCAACAAACTTTTTCATGAGTTGCTAGATAATGATGTGATAATTCCAAATAAACTGGACCATGGGACTCTCCTCCTAAACCTTGCCTATTCTTACAGTGGCATGGGAAATGCCGACAAATCAATAGAACTCAATCGGAAAGCAATAGCTGTTATGGAAGGAAATGACAGTTCTACACTAGCAGTAGCCTATAACAATCTTGGGACTACCCTTGCGCGTGAAAAGAAAGACACAAAAAATGGTTTACAATACCTGCAAAAGGCCTTAATGATGAGGTACAGATTGTTCGGCAATGTTCCAAATGTTGTCATCAAAGAGAACCTATATCTACTAGCACATGTCTGGTTTCAACTCGGAAACGTCCAAAGAGGTAAACAAATGGCGATTGAAAGCTATGAAATGCAGAAACATCTTCAAAAAATCAACAACGTCAAGGAAGATCCTACGTGGAATTTGAATATCATCGGCTACGCTTACCTCAAGACTTATGAAAATGAACAGGCAATAGAGTACTTTAAAGAAGCCATTGCGATAAAACTTGCTTCTCCATCAGAGCATCAACGACAATATTCCGAACTGCTGGCAATACTGTACAACAATCTGGGATACTCCTACCACAACAGTGGGGATATTAACGCAGCTTTGAAAAACTACGAAAAGGCGCTTGAATGGATGATTGATACTCAAACGGAGTTCTTCTCTCTTTATGGTTACTTTTCTTTGAAAGCAAGGATACTGTACAATATAGGCAATGCTCACATCAAACAGGGCGAGTATAGAAAAGCCATTGACAACCTTCAGAGATCTACAGAACTCAGAGATGAACATGTTGACGTTGATACGTTTGAGGCACTTGACCTTGTAATGTCTGTATCTGCACTCGCAACCACACTATCTTTACAAGGGGGTCTACCCGAGGCTTCAGTTCAACTTACCCGCTCATTAAAGCAATTGGATAACATTCCAGATGAACAAAAAACATCATACCTAGACATGGGGAAAATTTATAACAAAATTGGGACAGCGTCTCGTGTATTAAACAACCACAAAGAAGCAATGGTATACCACCAGTTAGCTTTAGATACAGCAAGGCAGATATATGGGAAGGATACAGAATCACTAATACTCCTGGCAGAGGTACAGGTTGAACTGCATGAAAAGCCTGGTACAGTCAAACATAATTTAACGTGTGCTACCAAAATGTTGAATGCAATGCACAAAGGCCAGTCACATCCTGATTTGGAGTACATTGATAAACTCTTGTCTAAATTGGAGACTTAGACACTCATTATCACCGATAATACAAGACAACACTCTACTATACCTTGCATTTGGTGTTCATGAGCAACCCATTTGGCTTATTAGTAATAATAATGTTATTTGTTTTTATTTGTCTGTTCCTTATTAATGGTTTATCGGATGACGTTTGATGTCAATAAGGTCCTTTCAAAAATATACTAAACAATACAATTAGACAAACAGAGTATATTATGCATTTCTAGGGTTTAGGTATAGTAGAGTGGACAAGGTATTAACATGCAAAATATCAACACTTGTCATTTGTTACAGATGCTGACCAACAAACATCAACCATCAAACACTGTTCACAAAAAACTTGGAGAGTGGAGACTGTAACAATAATATGTCACTACTTCTGGTGGTGGCATAACATATTGTAACTTTATGAAGTAACAAATCGAGCCTTGTAAAATACATTTTCTTAATATATGATATATAAAAAAATATGTCTGTATTGACTCTCTGATGGAATAACATAACATGTCTAATCATTCATCTATTTAGATTTTTTGAGATTGTAACGAAATACTGCAGTGTCTTACTTAAAAGTTATTTGAACTAAAAATAATATAAAACAGGAAAGGAAACTATTAAACGATAAATTATAATCCCCAAAAAATGACAAATTCTTTTGATAGCTTAATGATTGCAGCCTATATCAGCTGTACCTGAAAATGGTCAGACTAAAGACTTTTGGGTACAAATCAAGTCAAAAGCTAGCACTTATCAAAAATATCAATGTTGCATAGATACACATTAAAGATGGCGTTAAACTTTTATCGATACCTATTTGACATGTTTAATGTCATATCAAAAGTGTGATGAAATAATATTTTATGACACTGGATATGACAAAAATATATATCAAAACACACTTTACTCATGGTATTTAGTCCCTAACTCCTCTTATTCCAATTTTATAACTTCAGATATTTGAAGCCTTTATTTTTGCAAATTTTTTCACAGTACTAAGGTCTACACATATCAGCTATGTCTGTTTGATAAAATTAATAGCTGTATTGGTTCATTTAAAAATATATCCAGATCAAAACTTCTTACTTTTTAAAAATTTCAGAGGTTTCCTTTAATTTTAACATGTAGAGGATGGACTATAAAATATGTCATAAGGCATTACCAAATTTCACCACCCACCATTTGTTACAGATGCTAACCAATGAACATCATCCACAAAAACTTTGGAGATATTATTGTCTTCACCACTTCTGATGGTGATGAAAAAAGCCTTATCACTGGTTCAAAAATAATTCCGATGAAACAAACATTTTAAAACTAACCTGTAGAGAGACATATGGTTCTTGGAAGGCATATTTATATATCCAATCAGATTCAATATCCAACTCCATATCTTCAGCTGGTTGGACGGGCACACCACGTATCTGGAACCTCTCGGGTGTATCAGCCAATCGGATTTTGTTATCCGAATCAGTAAAATGTCCACGTTCTAACTCTGATGGTTCATAAATCTCAAAAATTGACTTTTTTAGAGTTTTCTTTTTCTTCTTTCGTTCCTTTCGTTCTAAACCACCTTCTTCATCTTCGTACTGGAATAGAACAATTGAAAAGATATACAAAAGGATTAGTTAATGTTATAAAAATATGTAAGAAATAAGTGAAATCATGGGTCATTCCCCCAAGGATACAGCAAATGAAAACACAGAATGAACTTTTACAAGTGACATTGTTCTCCCTTAAGATCTTTTCTCAGCTCAATATAACAATTTTCATAAATTAGGAAATTTTGGTAAAAAACAACTTCAGAAAATTGCCTGTTGCTAATGAAACATTGCCTGTTGCTAATGAAACTGCCACATTTCTTACCTCTTCTTCTTCACTGTCATACTCATCACTTCCACCATATTCTTCCATCTCATCAAAGTCAAAATCAACTCCAAATATATCCTGGGCTTCTTGTAGAGCACTGTAAATTGAGAACAAAATCATTGTGATGGTTGTTATTTTGACCTAACTGTTTAATCCAGAAAGAATTGTAGTTGGGTCAAAAAACCTATCCCTGAAAACACTGACCAATTTATGTCCACGCCAAAACAAAAAAAAACATGGATTAAAAATAATACCCTTGGCTTCTTCAAGAGCACTGTAAATCAATAATTGCTGTGGTTGTTATTTTTTTGGGGGAGGGGGGCGATAGTTTAATCCAGGAATAAGAGCAGAACTGTAGTTCAGGGTCAACAAAATACTACTGAAAACACTGACCAATTTATGCCACGCCAAAACAAAAAAACATGGATTTGGCTTTTGTAGAGCACTGTAAATCAATAATTGTTGAGGTTGTTTTTTGTTTTTGTTTTTTGGGGAGTGGGGGGTGATAGTTTAACCCAGGAATGAGAGCAGAACTGTAGTTCAGGGTCAACAACCTACTCCTGAAAACACTGACCAATTTATGCCCACACCAAAAAATGGATTAAAAAGTAATGTGACGGTATAAACTTTCTGAAAATTGATATTGCATAAAGTTGTTTCTATAACCAGATTTATGCCATAACATTTCTAATTGTGAAAGATGTCTGACTTTGGTACATGGCTTCCTTGGACAATTCTAACACAAGGCATTAACATGCAAAATGTCACTACCTGCTATTTGTTACAGACACCGAATGCCAAACAAACAGTGACCACCAAACGCTGAACACCAACTGCCGAACACCATCCACAAAAAGTTGGGAGACCATAATATGTCACCCCTTCCAGTGGTTATTTCTAACAAGACCAAGGTGACTTGAAATAATACCAGGCATTAATATGCCAAATGTCACCACCTGCCAATAGTTACAGATGCCGAACACCAACCATCAAACATAAAAATTGATCCTTGGTTGGAAATTCCAGATCGTTGCCATGGCATGTTGCATATGACAAATGTAATTCTAAAATAGCTGTATGAACTTACGCATCGCCGTGTATCTTGACTTTCTTCTTTTTCTGTTTGCTCATTGGTTGTCCTTCCTCGTCAACGATAAAGTCATCCACATCTGCAATATTCAAGAAATGTCAAATTGAAAAATAAATTCAGATAAGAATATGGCATTGCCATGGAGGGAACCATCTTTAATATTTAATAGACTCAAAATATAACGACTTTTTTAGAAAAATATTACATTATGCTCAGTATACAAATTGTGAAATTTTATTGACTTCGACAATGGTTAAGAATTTGATTGAGAAGAGATAGAATTCGACTCATTTAGTTCAAATAAAAAATACTTTTCCGGGGGGAAGCAAAGAAGTTTGACAAGGTTTAGTGAATGTGATTGGCCAAAAAATAATATCCCACGTACCAGATTCTTCTTCAGAGCCCTCTAAATCACCAAACTCCGTCCCAGTTTCTTGGGCAGGTGGTCTTCGTGGTTTTTCTTGTATAAGAGGTTCCTCTTCATCATCAGCACCATCAAAGATCTCATTGGCAATTGCATCACGGTCATCCTTATCTTCTTCTTTACCCGATTCGTCATCAGATGACATCATTTTAATACGTTTGCGTTTTTGCTGCAAAATAATTCAATTGTCAATAGGGATTGAACATATCCCCAAAACTGGAGCCAGTGATCTCCCCAGCATTAAAGCAAGTGGGCGCAGTACCCACCTGAGATTTGAGAAACAGGCTTGCACCCACCTAAAAAATCCATTTGCAACAACTTGAAAATGAGAAAAATCATAAAAAAATGGGCATATTTTTGACCAATTTCAGTGTGAATTGTGAAAATGAGTATTTTGCACCCTTGAGAAAAAATCCTGGAGAGATCACTAGGAGCCCCTGCCAGTCCTTGTCTCTGACAAGACCAAGGTGACTGGAAATAATACCAGGCATTAACATGCAAAATGTCACCTCAGATGCTGAACACCAACCACCAGACACCAACTGCTAAGTGCCATCACAAAGTTGGTGACCATAACAATATGTCACCATCAAAAATTGAACATGGAAACAGTTGCGAAAACTCTTCAAACCATCTGGCCATTTTGAAAAAAGTCTGAGAAAATCATATCCAGCTAAGGGGCGGGGTCAAAATATCGATGTTCATATGGAGACGAAAGTACTTTCGCGAGGGGGGAGGGGGTTTTTGGGCACTTTCGTTGACCAAAAAAACATCGATAATTCGGATCTGATATACAAAAAATAATTGGACTTACCCACTTTTTCTGGCGCTATGTTCTGATAAAAAGGCTTGTTTTCAATAGTTCGTGAGCTTTTTTGTGTGATAGGTCCAAAATATCGGTAGATAAAGACGATAATTCGATCATTTTTCAAATAAATTCCGTACTTTTCCCTCCTCCTTTTGAAGAGTTCAATGCAGTTAAATTGCGAACGTGTGTTAATTCACCGTAATAATAACCCGGCAAATAGGATACGATTATGCCTCTCATTTGACTTTTAAATCAATGTTTTTTTGAAGTGACCTAAGCTTTCGTCTAGAGGGGGGTGGGGGGGTTGTTGTCCAAACGAAATTACTTTCGTCTCCATATGAACATTGATATTTTGACCCCGCCCCTAATAAAACCCCATATCTGACTGAAATCCTAAATACCATATCACACTGGTGATCCGCTCGATTACGCTGGTTACCGAAACTGTTCGTTTCGGTAACAAAATGTCGGAACATCGAAGGTACGATTTTTCTTTTTCCTTATTTCACGCATCGTAGACAGAATCCCCATGACATTATTTCTCACAAACGTGTATCAGTGTCATATGTTTTAGAAAAAGTACATGTTTGCGCAAAAATAGAACAGAAGACAACAGAATCGTCGATTTAATTCCTCACTTAAGTTACATAAACGGTATGGGTTAAAAATGCAGATCTTAACTGTTTTTCGAAATACCGTTTATGTAACTTAAGTGAGGAATTAAATCAACCATTCCGTTGTCTTCTGAACTATTTGTTCGCAAATGTGTACATTTTCTTAAACATATGATACTGATACACGTTTGTGATAAAAATGTCGTGCCGTGGGAATTCTGCCTACAATGTGTGAAAGAAGGAAAAAATGAAAAATCATACCTTCGACGTTCCAACATTTTGTTACCGAAACGGTTCCAGCGTAATCGAGTGGATCACCAGTGATATCACTTATAAATGCCATACAGCAACTATCTGCTAATCAAATTATCATTGAGGTGAACAAAAATGAAAACATAATACAAAAAAATCACGACCTACCTTCCTTTTCACTTTGATGCCTAAATTTTCTTCAATCAAATCATAGTCATCCTCTTCTAGATCTTCTTCTATTTCTGACTCAGACTTGTCATGTTTCCTCTTTCCTCCTACATCACTGCCAGACTCTTCACCTTCTTCAATAGGGTCATCATTGATCAAGTCTTTCATCTCTTCACGGATCCTTTCCTCATCTGTAAGGTTTAGATATACAGGGGGTATGTGAGGTTTAAGTACATTTGGGTAATGTTGGGGTTGATGTACATATATGGGCAACACAGTACATATACCCGAGTACATATGGGCAATGTTGATGTACATATGGGCAATATCAGGGTCAATGTACATATGGGCAACATTAGGTTTTAAGTATACATGGGCAACATTGGGGTTAAAGTACATTTGGAAAATATCAGATTTTGTGGAAATATGGGCAACATTAGGGTTAAAGTATATATAGGCAATAAATATGTGAACATCTGAGAATATATGGTAACTCATTAATGTTATGTCAAATGATTTTTCATTTAACTGAATCAGATGATTAAATGATGATTGAATGATGAAACTTACCATCTTCCTCTTCTTCACTACTGTCACTGGGCAGACGCTTTCTCCTCTTAGAGTCTTTCTTAGATTTTACTTTCTTGCGCTTTTTACTTCTTTTTGGTGCATCTGAATCCGAACCTGATCCCGATCTTGAGCCAGATCCCGACCCTGATCCCGATCTGGATCCTGACCCCGATCCAGAGCCTGATCCTGAACCTGATACAGATCGGTCTGATCCTGATCTTTCATTGTCAGATCCTGAGATGTCGGATGCACTTGCTTCTTCATCAATGAAATCTGCCATTGTTGGCAGTCAATAGATGGTGCTCTCTGAAAAAACATTATCAAACATCGATTACTCAATTCCACTTAAAGCACATTGTAAGCCCAGCGTAGAGATTCAGAGGATGTCGGATTTAGTGGACCAAAACAGGCCACGTGGGGGCCAAAAACGTCACAAAACATTTACATATTGCATATTTAACAGCTACCAATTATAGTAAAATGTTGCCACATAACTGGTTAGATGACATGTTCAAATACATTCATTATTAAATAAAATCAATTCCTGTAGGTTTAAATTACTATTTCAGTTGTCCTTCAATATCTTACAATCTTCTGCAGTATTTTCCAAGTTATACTGAATTATGCATAAAGGTCATCAGAATTTTCAGAAGCTTCAAATATGCACACCATATAAACTCAATTCAGTATGTGCTATGTGGATATTCACAAGTTTGAATTTCAATGTTTTTTTACTCAAGATGTAAAAAAGAACTTCTTAAGATAATCATTGATCAATGGAATTATCAATTATAACTTGATTGATAAGATTATTTCATTCTGGGGATATTTCTACAGTGAGCTTTATCATTCATAATTCAGTTATTAGACTTGAAGTATGCAGACTCTTATAACTTCTGGTTTCGACTCTGGATTTTACTTGATCATAATCATTGAGTTGGTGTATATTTCACATTATTTTTAACTTTGAAGCACAAAATGTCTTACTCTTTTGGACCAAGTGATTTCTCATGGACGTGATGTCATATCTATTTATAGATCGCCAAGATGTTTTTTTCTGACAAATATTTAAGATATGATATATCACTGAGGATAGCCCCTGCCATGAGAAAAGTTTTATTTAGAAATAAGTGGACTTCATTCTATTATATTAGATATTTAATAGATGACGCCTACTGTAAATATTTCACCCATCATGGACTATGGAACTATAATAATTTACTTGGGTCTTGGCGAGAAGTAATTCCATCTGGAACATCGTGAAGGCGTGAACTATTGTAAAATTTCTAGTCAGAGTTCAATAAATTTGAGTAATATTCTAAAAACCGTCATGTTAATATTTCATGAATTAAGGTGCAAGCAATATATTGCTCTAAATGATACAATCTTTGAAAATTTGATATCATTCATAGAAAAAGAAAAAAAAATGAAAAAACTGATTTGAAAAGCGATCTATTTTCCTTTTTATGACCACCATTTTTGTTTAAGACAATTTTCTAAAATTTCAAAGATTGTACTAGTTAGAGCATTATATTGGGCACATTTTCTGAAAAATTCAAAAGATTCTGTTCAGTGACTATCCCTACGCTCCTACTTTTAGCTTTTTTTAGTCACACTTTCAAAGGGCTAAAAAGGTTATTTCATCATGTTTAGGGTCATTCTGACCATGCACATTGTGATCCTGGTCATGTAAATGATATGTGAAAATAGTTAAATTGACTGGAGGTCAAACCAGAACTCTGTTATCTTTATTCAAAAAATATCTAAAAATGCAAAAAAAATTGTCACTTCCTGTTTTGTCATTTCCTGTTAACTTCCATAGCACACTCATCCTAGTATTCCGTGATTCCACGTCGCCGCAGAAAAACCGCAGAAATTTGCATTTTCATATTTTCTGCAGAATTTTTGTTTTGGCACGGAATTTCGCGGAAAACATGATTTTTCCAGTCCACCAACTCATCTCATATTTGTCACTCACCTAAACACCCAAAGACTCCGCTCGTTTGTTGTCAGATACTTGTGTTGTGTCAGATTTTCAAGAGGAAATCTGAAATCTGTTTTAAATTCTCGAACTTCCGTCTTTGCACTTAGAGTTAAGACTGCGTCTAACATAATCACGAAATTTAAACCAATGATAGTCCCTCGTAATTGTTTTGCAATAATATGTCTAATATTGTATTCTAACGCAAATAATCATGCTTCTTCTTGCGTTTTACTTCGTCATATATAAATAGACGACATCTGAATTCCCTTCATATTGATATGGAATTTCGTGATAGTTCGAATTTCGTGATAGTTCACAAGTGAGCATTTGGTAAGTTTTGCCGCTAATAACATTGCATCTGGTGTTATTACTGCAGTTGTCCATTATCGCCGAATAAAGCAGCATGAGTGGAGTTCAAGAATTGTTTATTTTTGGAGAAAATTATTGATTTTAGCAAGAATTTCACTTTTTGCACATACTTGTACCACAAATTTTCACTTTTCCCAGTGCAGAATTTTAGATTTCATGCAGAATTTGGCTTTTTCATGCAGAATTTCTGCGCAGAATTTGCATTTTTCTCATGCAGAAAACTAGGATGTGTGATAGCACCTTAAAATGGAACTGGCTGGGCTCCTTGATGAGATATCGCATGATTTCATCTAAAACTAAAACGGCTCCAAGAAAAATGGCGATATTCGACAACTAGACAAAATGTCGTAAACGTCTGATATTAGTTACTGGCTGTTAGCGATCCAGAAGATGTGAATTAATATATTGATCACTTCATGTGTGTTTTGGAATTTTTGGTGAGGTAATAAGACCAAAACTTGCAATTCAAATTGTGATGTGGAAAAATGGTGAACATTTGATTTCAAATTTTATGATTACGACATGACCCGTATACAGCGACATAACTCACATCCTGCAGAGTAAAAAACATGCAGGGATTTATCTTCGGACGAAGGCCACTATAGTGGCCTTAGAAGGCAAATAATATTTGTTTGACTGCCATGGGATATTGAAATTCATGACCTCTTTATCTTATGTAGTGAATGTTAATCGTTAAAGAACATTAAAAGTGAAAATTTCTAAATCTTGTTCAATACAAATGTGAAAGAAAGTCACAAGAATTCAACAAAAAAGGAAAAATATTGAATTTTTTGCTTTTTGAAAATATTTCCTACAACCAAACACAGATTTCTCGTCTCATTCAAGTCGAACATTAGAAAATAAGATATCATCTGCTGCGCTAGTGTTGACACATATTAAAAATAACTAGTTCAGTTCATACTGTTATGACTATAAGAAGAAAATGTAACTTACATGTGTAAACAATGCAGATCCGAGTTTTTTCAAGATGGCTTCCAATTTTACTACATTTAAAACTGTAGCTGTGATCCGGATATACGGTAAATGATAGCGCATAATAAATCTTTTTATCACAAAATTATTTACATTAAAACACCAAATATATATTTTCACAAGTGAAATATTGATTGAATGGAGAATGATAAACAAATTATAGAGTTTATTATATACACTAGTATATCCGTTTTGACATTTAGTTTGAAATCCACATTTGTTCCAGCAGATATTTTCTGATTTACAAAGAAACTTGTAAAATGTGTAAGTAAATAGCACTATATTCCCGTTTTGAGTGTATTTACCATATAAGTGATACCAATATTTAATCCTGTTGTGTTAAATATTGTGTATATGTTGACAGCGATTGCTCAAAATGACATCAAAATCCAATTTACTCTATTATCGCCCATCACTGTGATCAGTGTAATAATTTTACATTTGTCATATTTTATTTGAATCTGCATAGCATCATAGTCTAAAGCATTGTTGTAATTCTAATTTTACTTTTCTTGTATTCTTAGGTCTCATCAACTGATATTGTTCGTCACAGTTATTTCTGACCCCAACGCTTGACATATTGAAATAATTTCTGGCCTCACTGCTTGAAACGTTGGAATGAGCTGTGAAGAGCAGCAACAGCTAACATTTTGAAAAGGTTATTTTAAAGAGGCTCTACACCATACAACCATAGGAGAGCACAATCAAGACACACAAATTTCTTTGCGTATTGAGTTCTACCACATATTCTATCTACTTACCAACGAAAAAGTTCCAAATCCCCCATTTACAGTGCTAATTTTGCGACTGTACTAAATGATTGTACAATACTAATTTGAATATTCCGGGCAAATCCATATTTCATCTGATTAGTCGTTAAATTTGTTCATCTGCACCTGATTGGCTGCCTGGTTCAAGGCACTCGCGGATGCTCTTGCTCCTGTCACTTGGTGGGGATTCCCTGAATGGCCGCGGAATCAATTGTGTTCAATTCTTACAGTTGGTTGTTCTGTTGATTATTATTTCAATATATTGAGAATAATACAACAATAAATTGGTCTTATGATATATCTAAGGTGTGTGAGATATAAGCAATTATAATAGGACATCATTGAATGTCCAGAAGGGAAACCTTACAGTCTATTTATGTTTTGTTTGATAAAGAGGTAGAGGTGTTTCAGTCTATTTATACATTTTGTTTTAGGAAGAGTCTATATGTGTTTTGTTTTAGGAAGAGGTAGAGGTGTTACAGTCTATATATGTTTTGTTTTAGGAAGAGGTAGAGGTGTTACAGTCTATATATGTTTTGTTTTAGGAAGAGGTAGAGATGTTACAGTCTATATATGTTTTGTTTTAGGAAGAGGTAGAGGTGTTACAGTCTATATATGTTTTGTTTTAGGAAGAGGTAGAGGTGTTACAGTCTATATATGTTTTGTTTTAGGAAGAGGTAGAGGTGTTACAGTCTATATATGTTTTGTTTTAGGAAGAGGTAGAGATGTTACAGTCTATATATGTTTTGTTTTAGGAAGAGGTAGAGGTGTTACAGTCTATATATGTTTTGTTTTAGGAAGAGGTAGAGGTGTTACAGTCTATATATGTTTTGTTTTAGGAAGAGGTAGAGTAGTTACAGTCTATATATGATTTGTTTTAGGAAGAGGTAGATGTGTTACAGTCTATATATGTTTTGTTTTAGGAAGAGGTAGATGTGTTACAGTCTATATATGTTTTGTTTTAGGAAGAGGTAGAGGTGTTACAGTCTATATATGTTTTGTTTTAGGAAGAGGTAGATGTGTTACAGTCTATATATGTTTTGTTTTAGGAAGAGGTAGAGGTGTTACAGTCTATATATGTTTTGTTTTAGGAAGAGGTAGAGATGTTACAGTCTATATATGTTTTGTTTTAGGAAGAGGTAGAGGTGTTACAGTCTATATATGTTTTGTTTTAGGAAGAGGTAGAGGTGTTACAGTCTATATATGTTTTGTTTTAGGAAGAGGTAGAGGTGTTACAGTCTATATATGATTTGTTTTAGGAAGAGGTAGAGGTGTTACAGTCTATATATGTTTTGTTTTAGGAAGAGGTAGATGTGTTACAGTCTATATATGTTTTGTTTTAGGAAGAGGTAGAGGTGTTACAGTCTATATATGTTTTGTTTTAGGAAGAGGTAGAGGTGTTACAGTCTGTATATGTTTTGTTTTAGGAAGAGGTAGAGGTGTTACAGTCTATATATGATTTGTTTTAGGAAGAGGTAGAGGTGTTACAGTCTATATATGTTTTGTTTTAGGAAGAGGTAGAGGTGTTACAGTCTATATATGTTTTGTTTTAGGAAGAGGTAGAGGTGTTACAGTCTATATATGATTTGTTTTAGGAAGAGGTAGATGTGTTACAGTCTATATATGTTTTGTTTTAGGAAGAGGTAGAGGTGTTACAGTCTATATATGTTTTGTTTTAGGAAGAGGTAGAGGTGTTACAGTCTATATATGTTTTGTTTTAGGAAGAGGTAGAGGTGTTACAGTCTATATATGTTTTGTTTTAGGAAGAGGTAGAGGTGTTACAGTCTATATATGTTTTGTTTTAGGAAGAGGTAGAGGTGTTACAGTCTATATATGTTTTGTTTTAGGAAGAGGTAGAGGTGTTACAGTCTATATATGTTTTGTTTTAGGAAGAGGTAGAGGTGTTACAGTCTATATATGTTTTGTTTTAGGAAGAGGTAGAGGTGTTACAGTCTATATATGATTTGTTTTAGGAAGAGGTAGATGTGTTACAGTCTATATATGTTTTGTTTTAGGAAGAGGAAGAGGTGTTACAGTCTATATATGTTTTGTTTTAGGAAGAGGTAGAGGTGTTACAGTCTATATATGTTTTGTTTTAGGAAGAGGTAGAGGTGTTACAGTCTATATATGTTTTGTTTTAGGAAGAGGTAGAGGTGTTACAGTCTATATATGTTTTGTTTAAGGAAGAGGTAGAGGTGTTACAGTCTATATATGTTTTGTTTTAGGAAGAGGTAGAGGTGTTACAGTCTATATATGTTTTGTTTTAGGAAGAGGTAGAGATGTTACAGTCTATATATGTTTTGTTTTAGGAAGAGGTAGAGGTGTTACAGTCTATATATGATGGTGATACCAACTACATACAAGTCAATGACACAACTTTTCAATACAAGGTCAGTATACTTTACTACCCTAGGCCCAGAAGCTAAGTAGTAATTGCTACCCTCTAAATATGACAAATAAACACTGCACGCATGTATTGAGAAGGGTAGCAAAAAGGGATTAGCCTGGCTTTTCTATGTGCCTCTTAATACTATCTAACTTTTTATGTCACCACCAGAACTGATGACATATTGTTATTGTCTCCAACTTTTTTGTTGATGGTGTTTGGCAGTCAGTAGTAATGCCTTTGGGCATTTAGCATCTGTAACAAATGGCAGGTGGTAACATTTTGCTTGTTAATGTCTTGTTGTTTATTTTTTTTAGGTAGGAGAGCACGAGCATCACAAGTCATTCCTTGTAGAGGTACAATGGGGAGAACAATACCCTGAAGAACTTCCCTCCATTAATCTAGATGCCTTTTATAATAAACATGTGTGAGTACATCATTTTCGTTCATTTTCCGTGAAAATGTATGTGAGTACATCATTTTACTTGAAAATATATGAAAGCTCAGCATTTTCCTTGTAAATATATGTGAGTACATCATTTTCCTTGTATATATATGTGAGCTCAGCATTTTTTTTTTATTCAGCAGTAATATTACATACATTTAATACAATATTCTAATAGCTTGATATCCTTTTGGATATAGAAAGCATTTAATTACAATAGTTTGTTATGAAATAATGGCTTGTTCACTATACTACTTCTTGCTGAATGTTATAAAAAAACCACTAAATTTGAATAAGGAAAGTTTTGTAAACATTTTCGAGTACAGCATTTTACTTTATTAATGTATATGAGACAGTTTTAGTTTTTAAGCTCTAATTTTCAGGATTGGGCTTCTAGTTGCCAATTTTTCTGTATGTGGCTCATTACTAGTTTTCACAAAAATTGCCAGTTTTGACTGAGATTTTGCCAATTTTGACCAACATTTAGACAATTTTCTCAAATGTAGATTGTTCTAATGCAAACAATTCAAACAATATCTTTTCAAATTTTTAATGATCAAATTGATGTCATTCTTGACTATGTTAAATTTTATTTTCAGACTGCAAGAGATAAAAGACAACATTGTTGAAAAAATCAGGACACAGGTATGTTCTGTGTATGGTGTGTCTCGTATCTACCTTCATGTACTCATCAAAAATAATGATCTGGAGCACCGGCTCTTTCTCACAATTTAACTTTCATTGGCGTGGGAACATCTATAAATAAAGAGTTTGTATAAAGAGTTAAAAAATAGCAAATTGTTCCTGTTTTCCAACAAAGGGTATAAAAGTACATTACGTTAAATAAAAAAATGGATAAATAAAATATAGGTAAAAAAGTACCAAATTGAAATTGTTTTTCAGGCAGATTTTCATTGTAGAGGGTATAAGTATTAAAACTAAGACCATTGTAACTGTTAAAGAATAAAAGAACATCGTAACTGTTTTTCAGGCAGATGAAAAAGAATAAAGGAACATCGTAACTGTTTTTCAGGGAGATTTGCATTTAAGAGGGTATAAAAATGAAATAAAACAGATTGTAACTGTAAAAGAACAATATTGTTTCTGTTTTTCAGGCTGAAGAGTTCCAGGGGTGTGCAATGACCTATACTTTGTTTGAATTTGCTAAGGAAAATGCTGAAGAGTTCATGGTTAATCAACCAGAGTTCCAAACTGTAAGACATATCTCATACTAAATAATTTAATTTATCGTATGATATGTAAAATGAAGCCTTCTGATTGGTCAGTTCTTGTGCTGTACCAATCTTTATCGTATGATCTGTAAAATTAAGCCTTCTGATTGGTCAGTTCTTGTGTTGTACCAATCTGTATTGCTACTGAGATTGTCACCATTGATCATCTCCGTCACAATACAGAAAGTATTGGTACGGAGGGGACATTCTCTGTAGCAAAACAGAGGATCACACGATAAAAATGTTAGAGAATGATTTGAAGTGCAATACAGGATATATTCTGCTCTCGATATTCTGTATTGGCACTCGACTTTCTCTCGTTCCTAAACGGAATTTCTCTATTATTAAGGGGTGCCAATTAATGTGTTGTCCCTTAGTTTTATATTTGCTTGGGGATAGACGGAGGACTAAAAATGTACAGATTGGACTGAACAAAATTTTAAATGCAGCATTACAAATATTATATTTTGTTATTTCACTGTCATATTCCTAACTCTCTGATTGGTCCATGTTTTACACTTGACTAAAAAATAACAAGTGATTTTCAACGTGTCACGTGACTTCTGTTGAATATCAAATAATTTTCACCAGTTACAACCTAGTCCCGTGTAATTTCAATTTTATATAGCCCCGGGATTACATTGCTATGATTAGCTAGACATCAATAGTTTGTTATTATTACATTAACGTGATTGTGAGTGAGGAATATAATAGTGAATAATAAAACAAATATTTAATTCTATTTTCGGTGAATACCTGTGACACTTTCACGAGATGATATTCGGGCTTCGTGGAATATCACTTGTTAAAGATGCACAGGTATTCACCTCAAGAGAATTAAATATTTGTATAATATTGTATTAATTATATCATATTATAGAACTTTTACATTACATATCATAATTCTGAAGTGATAAAATCAGCTGATAATTAAAATATTATTAGTACTATATAATTGACTTGTACTAATTCAGTACTTAATTTGTGCTAAATTAGTGCCAAATAAGAACTAATAATTTTGCCATTATGCTGTATATTCCAGACATCTGATGAGCGCAATATCGCACAAGAAGACCAAGTTAAGCAGGTGAAACAGAAGAAGGAACAATTAACTAAAGCACAGAAGAGAAAGATTATTAATCGTGTGGACAATACCGGGGAATTGCCTCGTGGTCACGATTGGATCGATGTCGTAAAACATTTACATCAGACAGGACGCGGTGATAATAATTCATAGCAGTGATATCTATTATTTAACTATATGAAATGCGGCCTTCTCAAGAGTCATATGATGGTGTCATGGTGCTCATTCATTTTTGACATCTGTGATTCATATTTGACATCTTATCATTCATGTGTGACATCGAACATTCATATATGATTATTAGTTATATGTAATATACGTCACTTTTATTTGACACATATTATTCATATGTGACATCTTATCATTCTTGTGTGACATATTACATATATTTGACTATAATATGTGTCATTTTTAGTATCCCATCGAACGAAGTTCGGAGGGATATAGGGAACGCCTCCATCCGTCCTTCCGTACGTAAGACCGTACGTACATCCGTCCGTCCGTCCGTCCGGGCAATAACTCAAATACCGTTGGCCCGATTTTGTTCATATTTTGTACACATATACCCTATGGGAGTAGAAGCTCTGCTCAAAAGCCGATTTTCAAAATGGCTGCTCATTAAAAAATGGCGGCCATTTTAGTGCCGATTTTACAGTAATTTAGGCGCAATTAGTAAAACTGTAATAGCAATATGTTTTAAATGTAAAAAAAATTATGTAGGACATTAATAAAGCTAGAAATGTAGATATTAAAGAAGCACATGGCAGCCATCTTGAAAAATGGCAGCCATCTTGAAAAATGGCGGCCTTTACTCGTTATTTTACGATTTTTGCTGTAACTCGAAAAGTAGTGGAGCGATTTTGTTCATATTTGGTATGTGAATACTATAAGCATGGCACACTGTCAAATGACACTTTTGGTAGAAGGCGGTCATTTTGAAAGATGGCCGCCATTTTAACTTATTTTACTACAACTCGAAAAGTAGTGGAGCGATTTTGTTCATATTTGGTATGTGAATATCAAAAGTCGCCATCTTGGCCATTTTAACATATTTTACTATAACTTGAAAAGTAGTAGAGCGATTTTGTTCATATTTGGTATGTGAATACTACAAGCATGACACACTGTCTAATGACACTTTTGGTAAAAGGATGCCATTTTGAAAAATGGCTGCCATTTTTGCTATATACTTTGTTTGTAAAAATGCCATCCATGGCTGTTCGATGGGATTCGCTACGCTTTGGCATTGCCGTTGTTCTGGTTTGACACTTATCATTCACATGTGACATCTAGCATTCATATGTGACATCTTTTATTCAGATATTGCATCAAAACATTAGTGTATGTCCAACATAAACCACAAACTTTTATTTGGAGTTTTGATATTTATGCCTTAGAATAACATGTCAGAAGAATCTGAGAATATAATACATATGTATGTACGTAGGCTTAATGAGAAAATAATATTTTAAGAGATGGAGAAGAACAATTTCTGTGTTTTTATCGTACCTAAAAAATATATGATATACCGTATATACTTGACAGTACCACATTTAAAAAATAGCCTAAACATTCTATCCAAAAAAAATTCAGCAAAAAATTCTACCCAAATGAATCAAGAATCTGAATTTTTCCTATGATATAGATAATTCCAATTTTCCATATTGCAGTTTAAAATTTCATAGAAATTTGTGTACTCTCTGTAAAGAAAGAAAGGTGTATGGTTCTTTATCAATAATAACATTTTCAATATTTTGTATAATTCTACTTAACTCTTTGAGGCACATTGTGTAAATATTGTGAATAAGTGGTGGAAATAAGTGGTGGAAATTGTGGAATAATTTTTTTATGAAAAATCTAGAAATATCACCAAAATCAAATTATGACTATTCAAAAGAAGACATTCAAATCTATATTATGTAAAAAACATCAAATTTGTCCGATGCAGGGGTAACGCTCAATTAGAGTGATGAACTTCATTCTTCAAACAGAGAATAGTCCTTTGAGGTTTTAGATAACATGCTCTAATAATCTCCATCACGATTGGTGCATAGCTGAATGCATGTCCAAATATGGAAAAATGGGTGATGCATGGCTTATAGTCTTCAGGAAATTTCAGGAAAAAATTGACCAAATTCTGACCCCATTAAGTTAAATACATATCTGGATTAATTTCTAGGGGGAGGGGGGAGTAGGGGGTCAAGCACAGGTTTTAATATTCTCTTATTTGAAAGTATATGTAACGGGTCTACATTACTCTCAAAAGCACTCAATCAAATCTCATTTTTCCAAAATTTCTTGGAGGGAGGAGCCGCCAAAACTTACGGCTCGCTTGGCCCGCGTCTTCTTCAGGAAATTTGAAATTTGTTGCTTTAAACCATGGTGATGTTACTTAAACAAGTCTAAAAATGAAACTTTCAGATCTTCATGATTATAAATCGTCTGTTAGATGACCAAATTCAAAGAATATTCCTTCATCACTTGTTCCATGTTATTCTCTTAAAAGTTTTTTGGGACACCCTGTAGATATAAAGGACTTCAAATAAAGTGAATGTTCATTACATTTGAGTTACATATCTCACACAGACACTATAGGGCATATACATGTGGTAGGGTTATCTGCGAATGATTCACCCATTGCATGGATTCAATAGGTATAACAAAGCATCTGAGATAAGAAATAATCCTCCAATCCCATGTTCAATTACAGTATTTTGTATTTAGCATCTAGCACACTTAAAAAGAATGGTTCAGAATGTTGCCCAGGGACCCATTATCACTTTCAAAATATGATAAACAATATAATTAACACATCCGAACAAATGCTTTATTTTTATACATTTACTAATCTAGAATTAGGAATTATTACAAAAACATATAGTAGAAAATTACGTATTGACATATGGTTGCCCTGGGTTTAGAGTCAGCCAACACTAAAACAAAGAATTCTTCAGGTTTAACATGACCGTATGAACCTGATACGTATTTTAAAAGGATATAAAGCAGAAATCGATGAATCTAAAATTGATTCTATTGGGAATATGAACAAAATGGCCAAACTTTCCAAAACTTGGCTCATGAATTGATCAAATGCAAAAAAATCTGAAACTTGATTTAGTTGATTTAGCATACAAAATTTCCGAAACTTGGCTAATGGATTGAACTGTGCAAAAAATCTGAAATGGCTAATTAGTGACTAGTGAAGATGACTTGGCTATTATTTTTGCATACAGAGAACTTCTCAAAAATTTTTTTTCTGAAACTTAGCTTATAGCTGATTCAGTGCAATAAATCTAAAATTTAGCTAAAAGAATGATTCAGCATAAAAATTCTGAAATTTGGCTAATGGATTCATTTAGCGCAAAAAATCTGAAATTTAGCTAAAGGAATGATTCAGCATAAAAATTCTGAAATTTGGCTAATGGATTCATTTAGCACAAAAAATCTAAAACTTAGCTAAAGGAATGATTCAGCATAAAATTCTGAAATTTGGCTAATGGATTCATTCAGCGCAAAAAATCTGAAACTTAGCTAAAGGAATGATTCAGCATAAAAATTCTGAAATTTGGCTAATGGATTCATTTAGCGCAAAAAATCTGAAACTTAGCTAAAAGAATGATTCAGCATAAAATTCTGAAATTTGGCTAATGGATTCATTTAGCGCAAAAAATCTGAAACTTAGCTAAAGGAATGATTCAGCATAAAAATTCTGAAATTTGGCTAATGGATTCATTTAGCGCAAAAAATCTGAAACTTAGCTGAAGGAATGATTCAGCATAAAAATTCTGAAATTTGGCTAATGGATTCATTTAGCGCAAAAATCTAAAACTTAGCTAAAGGAATGATTCAGCATAAAATTCTGAAATTTGGCTAATGGATTCATTTAGCGCAAAAAATCTAAAACTTAGCTAAAGGAATGATTCAGCATAAAATTCTGAAATTTGGCTAATGGATTCATTTAGCGCAAAAAATCTAAAATTTAGCTAAAAGAATGATTCAGCATAAAAATTCTGAAATTTGGCTAATGGATTCATTTAGCGCAAAAAATCTGAAACTTAGCTAAAGGAATGATTCAGCATAAAAATTCTGAAATTTGGCTAATGGATTCATTTAGCGCAAAAATCTAAAACTTAGCTAAAGGAATGATTCAGCATAAAAATTCTGAAACTTGGCTAATGGATTCATTTAGCGCAAAAATCTAAAATTTAGCTAAAGGAATGATTCAGCATAAAAATTCTGAAACTTGGCTAATGGATTCATTTAGCGCAAAAATCTAAAACTTAGCTAAAGGAATGATTCAGCATAAAAATTCTGAAACTTGGCTAATGGATTCATTTAGCGCAAAAATCTAAAACTTAGCTAAAGGAATGATTCAGCATAAAATTCTGAAATTTGGCTAATGGATTCATTTAGCGCAAAAAATCTAAAACTTAGCTAAAGGAATGGTTCAGCATAAAATTCTGAAATTTGGCTAATGGATTCATTTAGCGCAAAAATCTAAAACTTAGCTAAAGGAATGATTCAGCATAAAATTCTGAAATTTGGCTAATGGATTCATTTAGCGCAAAAATCTAAAACTTAGCTAAAGGAATGATTCAGCATAAAATTCTGAAATTTGGCTAATGGATTCATTTAGCGCAAAAAATCTAAAATTTAGCTAAAGGAATGATTCAGCATAAAATTCTGAAATTTGGCTAATGGATTCATTTAGCGCAAAAATCTAAAACTTAGCTAAAGGAATGATTCAGCATAAAAATTCTGAAATTTGGCTAATGGATTCATTTAGCGCAAAAAATCTGAAACTTAGCTAAAGGAATGATTCAGCATAAAATTCTGAAATTTGGCTAATGGATTCGTTTAGCGCAAAAAGTCTAAATTTTAGCTAAAGGAATGATTCAGCATAAAATTCTGAAATTTGGCTAATGGATTCATTTAGTGCAATAAATCTGAAACTTAACTAAAGGAATGATTCAGCATAAAATTCTGAAATTTGGCTAATGGATTCATTTAGCGCAAAAAAATCTAAAACTTAGCTAAAGGAATGATTCAGCATAAAATTCTGAAATTTGGCTAATGGATTCATTTAGCGCAAAAAAATTGAAACTTCATTAATGAACTGATTCAGTGTACAGATTTTCGGCTAAATGGATTAATTCATCATAAACGAGACGCTATACAAAATCATCATGGAGGAAAACACTGGCATAATGGTCGACAGAATATTACCCACTGCAGTTATGATACTGTTGGCAACGACAGGCTGCTTTCTCAACTTATTCATGGTGGTAGTGGCCATAATAGACAACAAATGCCAAGACTATAATAAGTTCATTACACTACATTCAATGAATGATCTTGTGCTCTGTGTGTTTATTCTACCCGTAAGGGTATATTTTACATGGGTTCAGGATGAAGATTTGTATCCAAGTGACGTCTTCTGCAAGACATACTCAATCATTTTTCATAGTATAATTATTGTTAATAGTTTTATCTTAATTGCCGTTGTCATCAGCCAGTATATCCTCATAACAAAATCTCAGGAAAACTTCAAGAACCTTTTCAAAAAAAGAAAGTTTGTGACAATTACTAGCTTTCTTTATCTACTTGGAATCATAATGGTGATCGGAGCACATTTATCTACTACTGACACATTTTCACCAACACAAATGGACTGTTTGAAAAATATAACGGAGGAAGATACCAAAAGCGGGCCAGTTATCATTTTAGTAATATTGATAGCCATGGAGATACTGACAGTAGCTGCCATTTATACAAAAATAATATATTTTCTGAGGAAAAAGAGAACAAAGAAAAACATTAACTATTCCATCCATTTAATTTATTTTCTTATTGCGAGCGGCTCATTTTCTCTACAAACTGTTCCGTCATCTCTTGTTCGAAGGATACTATCACAAAAGTATATAACTCATCACATATTGACATGGGTCATGATGATTTCTATGAGCACATCTGCCCTATTTCCTTTGATATTTATCATAAGAATACCACAGTATACGTATGCTTTTAAGGCATTATTGGATCGTAAAACTCCTCAGAATTATCGAAGGGCTCAGATGAGGAAACGGGTTCTGTTTCATGCATCAAAAGAACTTACAGAAATTAAAATTAAGACAAATTCTGTCAATCTATTAAATGATTGTCCTAAAAAAGATGAAAATCCTAAAAAAGATGACGATCTTAACAAAGATGACAATTGTTACAAAGATGGCAATCCGAACAAAGATGACAATCCTAACAAAGATGACAATTGTAACAAAGATGACAATTCCTGCAAAAGTGACAATCCTACCAAAAATGACAATCCTAACAAAGAAGACGATCGTAACAAAGATGACAATCCCACCAAAAATGACAATCCTCACAAAGATGACAATCGTAACAAAGATGACAATTCCTGCAAAAATGACAATCCTACCA